CTTTTTTCTGATATACCTACATTTCAAAAGCAATCTGTGGGTTTAGGAAAAAAATCTTACTTTTTTTTATTGATGAATGAGACTGCGTGACGCTCATATGCCCACAGTAAAAGCTGAGTTCTTTGAGTGCCCTTATGTGCTGCTATCAGGGATCAAAATGTGCTATTTCATTCGACACGTGTGGCCCTGCAGCTGTAGGTCAGCATAGAGAGTCATGGCCTGTCTGAAGTGAAAAGTTTAAAGGGATCGTGGACTGATGTGAGTATCTCTTCACTGGTCTGATCAAGGTCCCCATGAAGCTGGAGCAGAAGCAGTGTGACCTGGTTTCACCTCATGAATTAGAGCAGAGGGAGAGAGGGGGGAGTTTGTGATAAAAGTTTTAAGAAGGCAGATGTGTGAAAGAAGAGCTTGGCGTGGCCCTACATTTGGACCTGTATTCCAACTGATCCTGCTTTCGCTGCATGTTTGGAAGTTTCACATGCCTAAATTTTGCTGAAGTGCAAGACAGAAGCACCCAGAATTTGCGTTTTCTTTTCCATTCTGTGGATCATTAAGGCTGGTACCTCTCCTGAGTCCAAGGATGCTCTTGGCATTATGCTGGCAAGCCCAGTACTGAGCAGGCTTCCCAGGGCATGCCACTCCCATATCTTCTTCCCCGCTCCCAGCTCCTCTCTTAAGAAGCCACTGTCGGGCCCCATGCTGCAGTGTCTGACCACCTGATACAGCATGAACTCTGGAAGGGAGCCCCCCCTCCATGTCTCTCTGTACCTCCCATCCAGGCTGTAGGTATACAGCTTATCCCCAGCGCCCTCCTTCCCCACCCCCCCCAGCCAGCCATGCTCTGCTCTGACATGGGGGGAAAAAATTACGCACACAGTGAGAATGCCTGGTAGGCCAGGCTGTGCCCCGGCTGTTCTGTTCTGTCTGCAGCAGACACAATGCCATGGGTGAGGGTCACCTTGAAGGTCCTACCACCACTTGGGTGGTATCGTCTGGGCATCGTTACTACATGTTTTCTCTGATCCAGGAAATCATAGGAAGGGGGAGCCCCTCCAGGCTGCATCTCGCAGAATGAACACTTTCCTGACCTCAGTTTTGCCTCGTACCTCATGTCTGATGTGCAAAACCTGCTCATGGCAGAGCCTGAGACGCCTGGAGGCAAGGTGGATCTCCTGTTGTCTCACCAGGGACCTCAAGTCAATCTTAAGGCCAGGTAGGACAGCGTCACAGTTTGAAAGCGCTGAAGTCCCACACCTTGTAACAGCAAAACACAAATCTGTCGTGAGCCAAGATTTGTCTTGGCTTCCTCTGTCTGCTTCTTCCAAGAGACTCCCTGGAAAAAAATTCTTCTGGGGCTTCTGGGGACATGCTAAAGATAGTGTTGACCTGGAAGGTGGTCAACCTCAAGAGAGGCTGCAAGACTGGCCTTTGCTCTTTCCGCTTTGGGCACCCACGTGACAAAGCCGGTGGGTGTCCCAGGACAGTGGGGGTCTTTCTGAGGAACAGGAGGGGACCGGGAGGAGGAGGAACTACTTCAGCTTCCAAACCAGTATTTTCCATGTGTTAGATTAAAGATAACCCAGCCCAGGATCTGCCTGCAGCCAGCCAGCAGACACCTCACAGTTGCTGGCCGTTAGTGTCACCAAGCCTCTGGTCTTTGCCACTTACAGATGCTGGGCTGTGGGTTTCCCTTCTTTGCCTCGTTTCCTGCCAGCTGCCTCGGGGGCTGCTCAGGCTGCATGTCCACGGCCTGTCCCTGGGCCTGCTGGTCCTTAGACTGTGCTCACCAGGTAACTGTTGTCCTGGGAGTTGGCATAGGCTGCCTGTCTGGAGCGCTGCAAGAGACTCCTCCAGGGTCTGTTCTTGGGAGGATCCTCAAGGAAGTGTGTGCCTTTACAGAAATCGCTGATCTGTTTCTGTCTCACACCCACTCTCTTTTAATGCCATTTTTCTTATGAAATATTCAACACACACAAAAGTGCCTCACTCTATACATGTATCTTAGTGGATAATTATAAAGCGAATGCCGCCAAAGTCAAGAATTAAAATAGGAGCAGCGTCACAGAAGGCCCCTCACTTACACCCATCCCAGAGAGGACATAACTTTCTGTACGCTTGCTCTTTTTTTTCTTTCACTTTTTACCACCTAGGTATACATTTCTCAATGAAATCATTCAAATTGACCTATCTGGAAACTTCATACAGGTAGAATCACAGTGTCCATTTATACTTATGAGAGTCACTTTTGCTTTGTATCAGTGTCGTTTGCTCATTTTATTCATGACATTCTGTGGTATGAATACCCCAAGACTGACTTACTCTGTACTCAGCAGATACTTAGCTTGTTTACAATTTTTGATAATGACAGATAAAACTGATATAAACATCCCCACACACGTTACAGGTGCAGAATGCATGCATTTTGTATATCTTTGAGTGGATTGCTGACTCAGGGAATAAATAGGTTTAGTTTCAGTAGAGAATTCCAAATTGTTTTCCAAAAATGATTGAACCAATTCATGTGCTTGCTGGCAGTAAATGAAGGTGCCTATTGCCCTCATTCTCAGCAATTTATTATTTTCAGCCTTTTTAACTTTTGCCAGTCTGGAGGGGGCATAATGTTATTTCCATTGTGGGCTTCATTTCCATTTCCCCATTTCTAATGAGGTGATTGCACCATTTCCCTGTTATTCCGCGATCCTCTGTCTGTTTTAACAATAAAAGTTCAATCAAGACTTAAGGCAAGATAGAGTGGTGGGCACTGGGCATGAATTCAGAAAGTCAGAGTTCAGATCCAGTTAATTGTCTCCAGGACCCAGAGGTCCAAGATACAAAGGTAAAAGTAAAGTTAGTTGCTCACTCGTGTCCGACACTTTGTGACCCCACGAACTGCAGCCCGCCAGGCTCCTCCATCTATAGAATTTTCCAGGCAAGAATACCAGAGTGGGTTGCCATTTCCTTCTCCAGGGGATCTTTCCAACCCAGGGACTGAACCCAGGTCTCCAGCATTGCAGGCAGACTCTAAGCCAGCAGGGAAGCCCAGGACACCAAAGACTTGAAATCGAAGAGAATGTATTTTGGAATGGCCTGTGGACATCGTTATCCCGAGTTAACCTTTTATATGTATTTGCATAAATTCTTAATGCTTAGTATTTAGTATTTGTTTGCCACTGATGCTTATAAACTAAGCAAAGCAGGGGTGAGTAACCCTGCCTTATAAAATAGCTTCCCTAAGAGATAAACTCAGTTCTTCCTCATATAAAAATATGTTTTTCCTTTTCTGTGTGGTTGTTTTTCGATTTGACAGCAACCAACTAGCCTTAATGGGCCATGTGACCATGAAAGGGAGCTTACACTTTGGGGTGCAGGCGACTTGCTTGGGTTTGGGGGAAGAGCTGTTTTCACAGTGCAGAAGGTTTCAGAAGCAGTCCTGCGGAGATCGAGGGGAGTCTGGGTGTGTCCCACCACCCACACCAGCTGCCCTGAGCACTGAGGCATGGAAGGAACCTGTTCGCTGCGCACAGCCAAGCACAACTTAAAAGAAACTTATTTTTAAAACAAAGTTCCAGCCCCATGTGACACAGCTTAGCTCTCATGTCCTGGGTTCACTTTTTGAGATGAATCTACAAGGCCAAAAGTGACTGCATCAGCTTCCAAAGCCGGTCCTATGGATGTGGTCTCTTACAGCCAAGGGGAGGCATCAGAAATTTCCCCACGACAGGGAAATCCCAGGACAGTTTTGGCACATTTGGGCCTCTTCCCAAAGTACAGTTGACTGGACACATTGCTTAACATTTGGGGGCCTCATTTTCCTCATTTTAGAAAATGACAAGGCCGCCGAGGCTTTCTGGGACCTTCTGAGATCTCGGTGACTCACCGTCTCACACCTTGTGATCCCAAAGGCTTGAGTTGCTGAGAGGGGAAGATGGGCTGAGGATGGTGATGACTAAGGAGTTCAGTTGGGGAAGGGGATTCATCTCCATTCTGTGCCTTTGCAGCCCTCACCTAGACCGCACCCTCCTGCAGTCCCGCAGGTCTTCCTGGGCAGGGCAGACCTCCCCCTGGAGTGCAATGGGTGTCTCTGATTGGCATCAGGCTCACAAGTCTCATCCCTGGATAAGGGAAGGGAGTGGCATCAGGGAGGGGACCAGGAGGCAGAGCCTGGGCAGCCAGCACAGCCCTGGTTCTGCTCATTGGTCCCCAGCCACCAGTGGAGGACATTTTCTTCTCCTGATGACATCATCTGATGCTATCGCATGGTGGTTTAGTCACTGAGTCGTGTCTGACCCCATGGACTGTAGCCCACCAGGCTCCTCTGTCCATGGGTTTCTCCAGGCAAGAATACTGGAGTGTGTTGTTATTTCCTTCTCCAGGGGATCTTCCTGACCCAGGAAACGAACCCAAGTCTCCTGCATTGTAGGCAGATTCTTTACCATGGGACATTTTAAATCCCAGTCCTGCTTTCTCCTCTCTGTAAAAGGGAGACTGAACTTGAGGGAATGAAGAGGGTCCTAGGGAGGGGGAACCTTTCCCGGCCTCCATCTGGGGTCAAGAATATTCCTAGTTAAAATGCCCAGCAAACACCCCCTCCAGGGGCACAAACCTGGGCTGGGTGGGGGATCTGCCCTGTCTGGAATCTAAACCAAAAGCAGACCTCATGGAAGAGAGGACCCGAGTGCAGAGGGCTGCACAGACTCCACTCTTCTGGGGTGCTGTGGGGTTCACATGCCCGTGCCCTGAGCCAAGTTGTGCTCCAGATGAATGGAGGACTCACCCCCAGAGCCTGGGCCTCTCCTGACGTCCCCTCAGTCCTCCCAAGCCCACTGGGTGTTCTTTGTCTGGGACTCGAGGTGTCATTGAGCTGTGAGCTGGGCCTCCCTGGGTACAAAGCCCTTGACCCCGAGGTCAAGATGCTGCTGCAGGCTGCCTGCCCAGGGCACTCCTGCCCACCCCTGGCGGGCAGTAGGAGTGATGGTGACGCCCTGTCTTCTCTCTTTCAGGATCAGGGCCAGGGACAACGGGTCCTACGCCCTGTGCCTCCTGCATGAGGGCAAGGTGCTGCACTACCGCATCGACAAGGACAAAACGGGGAAGCTCTCCATCCCTGGCGGGAAGAATTTCGACACACTCTGGCAGGTACCTGTCCTCCTGGACCTTTATAGAAGATCTGGGTCCATGCCGAGACCTGCCCAATCAGAGTCCCCACTGTACGCTCCAGGTTCCTGGATGCATTGGTCTAGGGTTACCGTGTTAGGTGACTGAGGCTCCCGTAGCTTGTCCAGGGCCCCTTAGCTCTTGGCACCAGGCAGCAGTACCTAACCAGGATTACATGTGGTTTAACAGGAGACTCTGCCTTAAGGCCCTAGAGATGTTCTACCTGGAATCCAGAGCATCCTTTCAGACAAATATACAGTAAAGGAAGGTATAGATGGCTGGGAAGGGAGTCTTAGAAGTGGCTAATCAGACTATTCTTTGAATTGCGAGAGGCCAAATTTAATACAAAATGTAAAGTGCCATTCTTGCTGCAAAATGAATCGCTGCAAAATTAAGGCAACCTAGTGGTTATCATTTCCTGCATGTCAGGCCACCACTTGTATAGGATTATCCACCCCTGGCCTAAAAAGGGGTTCTTGACCCACCTGATAGGAAAGCCCAAAGCAATGTGTGATATGAGAGTTCCTTGGGTGCTAGCTCTAACACAATGTTCACCCCTGCTTTCCACCAGGTACGAACGACTTGGCTTCATTCTAAATCACAGCTCCATGAGGAAATGGCAAAACATCCTATAAACTGTAGTGGGCCCAGAGGCAGAGAAAACCAAAGGACTCTGCCACCCCAAGAACGACAGCTACATTGAGTTTTGTAGGTGCAGGATGTCACTGGGGACAGGTTCAAATGTCCACACCAGGCCCTACCAGGAACTTCATGGGTGGCACCAGCAGGAAAGTACCGGGCTCAAAAAATCTTGTCTTTTTAAAATCTGAGATCAGAGATCCCCATTACCTTGAAAGCACTCAGAATAACCACCACATGATGTATTTTGGCTCCAAACTGTAGCTGGAAGAAAATCTTCTTCTTTGAATGCTGGGTATTTTAATATTCATGCATATTAGTCATAACGCTGACATTATCTTTTGGTTTGTAGCTCATTGATGTGTAGCTCATTATTGACCACGGACTTTGCTTTATTTTAATGGTATCGTTTTGAAAGAGTGTTTGCCCAGTGCAAATCAGAGAGATGAGTAGGGAACATTGCCTTCTGGAATTAATTTCCCATCAGAGACTCTCACCTCCTACAAGAATCGCTGATGGTGTGCATTGAAAGGCACTGGCCTCCATCCGTCAGTCTGATGCTTGAAGGTCCTGGGCTCCATCACTGCTACACGGCCATTGGATTTCTCGTGAATGACCATTTTCCCTGAGTGAGTCCACTCACAGTCTCCAAGTCTGCATGCTGACTTTAATGCTAAACATCTTTAATTGTTGGAAAATTCCTTCCCAAGGCTTTTTCCCGTATTTACTGATTCCACTACCATATTGTAGTGAGTAAGTAAAGTCGCTCAGTCGTGTCCAACTCTTTGTGACCCCATGGACTGTAGCCTACCAGGCTTCTCTGATGGGATTTTAGCAGTCAGCCTTAATTGAATCTTTCCCTTGTATGTCTGTTTAAGAAAGAGCCTCGAAAGTGCCAGGAGTACCTTCCATTTTCATGAGTGTGATTTCATTGTTCTTTCTTGACAACAGTAAGGTTCCGTGGTACCCTTCCCCTACCCAGGAATCTGGTGCTGTTTTTCTGAGAGTTGGTAATTGCTACACTCCTCTAGTTTTCCTTTCTGTAGAGAAAGAATCAACACACTTATGGATCACGTCTGGCCCTGAGCTGCTTTTGTGTAGTCCTTGAAGAAAAATGGTTTCTATATTTTAAAGGGTGATTGTTTATTTTAAATAAAGAACTATGTGACAGAGATGATACGTGGAATGAAAAGACCTAAAATATCACGATCTAGCCCTTTACAGAAAATGTTTGTGTACCCTTGCCCAAGAGGGAAATCTTTATGTGTATGCCCACCTCCCCCCTATCCTTTTGGGTAGATTGCCTGAAACCATAAGCATGTAAGGAGATATTTGAATGATACTGGAGAGATGCATGGGATATTTCAGTTGTTATAGCTATCTCAATACTATGTCTGAGAACACACTGTTGCATTTAACAGAACAGAGAGAGTTTTGCTCTCCGTTTCAGTAGTGTGTTAGGTCTGGTCATATTGGAATGTTTATTAAGAGAGTGGATCTCCTTTATTGTGTTCTTTCCACAATAAAATAAAATTTAAAAAAAGAATGCTCCCTGGAATGATAAAATATATTCATTCAATGAACATTTACCCAAATGGGTAAGTTTTGAGAGAAAAAAACGGTTTAGGAGCCAGGAGTCCATAACTAGAAAAGGAATTAGTAAATAGATAAGAAAAGATTATTGGATAGAAGGATTTTAGTTTGTCTGAAGAGGAAATGTCTGTTTGAGAAAAGAAAATGTGAAAACTAAGGCTGTCTTCCTGTTGCATAATTTTGATTAGGTATAAATAAATCTCCTTGCCATTCATTTCATTTTTAATGTAGAATCAGACATCATGATTCATAGTTTTCTGGACACCATTAGCCAAGGGTGTCCATGTTCTGTGAACATAAGGCCATTCTTCAAAGGGTCAGCTTTCTCCAGGCCCTAGTTCTTATATCACTCATGCTGTGATGTCTTCTCTCTGAAACTTTTGGGCTGAGTTATTTGGTCCCTCCAAAGTCTTTGCCCAAAGCACTAATACAGAATCAATTACTCTACTTTATAATTCATTTATAGCCTTCTCCACCAAGGAAGTAAGCACCTCAACAGTAGGAAATGTGTCTCATTCACCATAGTTTACCTTTTGTCCTGTCTCAGGGCCTACCAAACAACAGAATGTTTGCTGAAAGACCGAATAAATGAATTCATTATTATAGTATCACATGGATATAGAAGAATATAAGCAAAGACATGCAACTTACCACCAAAGAAAGAAAGAAGGAAAGAAAGGAAGGAAGGAGGGAAGGGAGCCAAGGGTAGAATAAGGTCAAAAAGGGAAGGTGGCATGTGGACTTCTGCCAGAAGTCTGAAGGTGGCAGGAAAGAGGTGTGGGGAGGAATCAGGAAGACCACCAAGGAAGCACTTTTTGTTGTTTAGGGCTGTCCTTGAATCACTTTTAAAATCCAAAAGGGGAGTCAGCTGCTCCAGGTAAGGAGCATTTCCTGCCCCTATTATTTATGATACTTTCTTACTTTTTTCTTTTTCAGCTGGTCGAGCACTACTCTTATAAATCAGATGGTTTGTTAAGAGTTCTTACAGTTCCATGTCAAAAAATTGGTGGGCAATCAGGTGAGTAGCCAAGACACTGGAGTCTCACTCTTTCAGATGCTGATAATAATCAGCCTCATTATAGATTTGATCTGTTGCAAGGTCAAACCAGATGGGATGAGACTTTGTTTTTACTGATTGATTAAAATGATTACTCCAACTGTATATTTATCATTCATCAAAAACTAGTCAATAACTTTAAAAATGGGTTTGTTTTTATTGCTTATATGAGAAAATTGAGTAAAAGAGGATAACAAGAAATGTATGCAGAAAATATATCTGCTCCTCAAGCAGTAATATTTTACAGCCACATTGATTGATCTGCAGTGGGGGAGGGGATAAATAGATGGTTTTCACTGACACAGCAGTAATTATGCATGTTCTTTCTAACCAGGAAATATTAACTTCCGTCCACAACTTCCAAGTTCTCATCCTGGGGTAAGTGTTACTTAGCCAGGCCATTAAAGATGAAGCAGTTGTATATTAGCACAATGAAAAGTATTTTTAGACAAAAGAGTAATGGTCATTGTTCTTATCACACTTGATAAACTGGGATTGCTGGTGCAACTAGAATCAGCCTATTTTCAGTTCTGAGCTAGCTAAATTAGCTTCTTTGGTAGGTTAAAATCCCTCCATTTTCTAAAAGTATATGAAATATCCATGTAACCCAATGTTAAATCAGAAATATACCTCCTGGTAGATTTTGGAAATGGTAACATATTGTTCAGGCTCAGCCCTGACCCATCCATGAGGAGTCACATGTATGATCCATGTGACCACATGCATGATGAATAGTAAGCTGGGTATATAAGTTGTCTCAGTGAGGTTGACTGCCAAACTCTTTAGGTTAAATCAACCAAGACATTGTTATCAGAAAACCCACCCTTTCCAGGGGAGCTGCTTTGGCCATAGCTTGGTGGAGGAAGGCTTGGAATGGGGGTGCCTGGTGCTATCACTTGAGAGAAGAAGCCTCTAGAAAAGGATGGAGTTGAAGGCTTGGCAAGAACCCACCACCCCCTCCACATCAGTGGGTGGTGAGAATGTGATCTATCCACACTTCTACATGTGGGTTTGGCCAACACATGCATGATGCTTCTGAAGAGAGAGAATTCCAGCTCTCTCCTCCCTCCAGACTATTAGGAGCTGACACTCAGATTTATACTCCAAGCAGGAATGATGTCCTGCTACTTTGAAGGGGACCTCACTGTGGACCTTTGATGCCCTTTAATGCCATTTGTGAGGTCTGAAAATTCCCCCAACATGAGCTGTGTGCTCTATACCTCACTTTCTGCCTGTTAACCCTTAAAATCTGCAGAAGGTGGAACGAACCCTCCTCCTGTGGCAGGGGCTATTGACTTGTTCAGAAGCTGCACCTATCCTGAACCAAGCAGTCTTTTTGCAGCAGCTCTTGTCCCCGAATCAGGGGAGCTGAAATGCCAGTGAACTTTGGGATCAACTTCTAAAGTAAAGCACCTTTATGGAGTCATCATTTTGTTTTACCCTTTACATGACTCATGGGCCTGGCGAGTCAACGTTACGATTTTATCCACCATGAGGCAGGTCCACTTTGCTCTAAGAGACAGGTGGGCTTGGGGTGAGAACTTTAAAAGAATATCAAGGCTTCTATTTAGTTGTGCATGACGTAATGGCTTCAAGGTGTTAGACATTTTGGAAAAACTTTTTACTAACTATATAAAAATATGCATGTTCCCTAAGGGTCCAACTCAGTGAATTTCCACAAATATCAAGGAACCAGCACCCAGAAGTAACAAAATTGGGCTCTCAGAATTAGTTTCTTTAGGATGATTTGTCTTCAGTTTGACAATAATTATATATGAAAAGTGGGCTATTTAATATGAAAACTTGAATCTTATAGCCTTCCATGGAAAATATTGCCAAAATATTTTTCCAGATCCTTCTACTCAAATGGTAGGCTTTTCCTGAAGCCTTTCTAATGATCACATGTTACCTCTAGTGCATTTCATCAACAGAATCTGGAGGGGGTTACTGTAATTATAAGAGCTAAAATAACATGTTATGTAAGGTAGCCTGTATTTGTTTTCTGAAACATTTACTATTCCTCTTTGCCATTATGGTTTCTAGACTTGGTCAGCGGGTGGAATAATCTCAAGAATCAAATCATACTCCTTCCCAAAGCGTGACCACAGAAAGGTGCTAATGCGTCCCCTGCTTGCTGTCCCTGACTAAGTGGTAGGACAGACCGGCACGCAGCACCCGCGCGCTGCCCTCGGCTGCCCCTCCGTGCGCACTGCTGCCCACCCTCCCTCTGCTCTGGTCTCATGTCCCTGCCATGTGTAGCCCTCACGGGCAGCCCGTGCCCGTTCCTCATAATGCTTTCCGTGTGGGTCCAAGTCTCTCTGCTGCAAAGTCCCTCACCGTGAGCACACTCTCTCTGCTACAATGTGCCCTTGGAAGTCCTCTCTGTCAGTGTGATAGGTGGGAGGGATTTCTCCTGTGGGAAAGTCTTTTCAAAGGAAACCAGGATCACATGCGGCAGTGGTATGGTAATTGACTAGATAAATCACACGTTGGTGGAAAGAATAGCCAAAGTAGTGTGGATCCTGCCCAGTGACTACACAAGGTCACTGATTTTATAAATATCAAGTGCCATAGTAACGTCATTGTGGCTCTAGAGTTCCAACACAGAACCTGAAGTATAACACATACGAAGACAAGGTGGAATTTGAGGATTAGAAAAACATCATTTTTATTTATGAGACAGTAAAGTTGACATCATATGGGCTTTCCTGGTGGCTCAGTGGCAAAGAACCCACCTGCCAATGCAGGATACACGCGTTTGATCTCTGGTTTGGGAAAATCACCTGGAGTAGGAAATGGCAACCTACTCCAGTATTCTTGCCTGAGAAACCCCATGGACAGTGGAGCCTGGTGGGCTACAGTCCACAGGGTTGCAAAAGACATGATTTAATGACTAAACAACAGCAACAAAAGCTGACATATAATGCATATTCGTATTTTGCTGTATGATTGAATTATGGGGTAAATAAAAAGTTTTTTTAACGACTCAGTTAAAATGAATCACCTCCCTCAAGAAATATTTATAACATGTATATGGATTTCTTTTTTTTTAGTTGTATCATTGTGGTATAAAATTATTTTATTAATAATTCTTTCCATTTTCATATCCAGTTAGTACTTTTCCAGACATATGTGCTTAGTCACTCAGTCGTGTCTGACTCTTTGTGGCCCCATGGATTGTAGCCCACCAGGTTCCTCTGTCCATGGGATTCTCCAGGCTTGAATACTGGAGTGAGTTGCCATGCCCTCCCCCAGGGGATCTTCCCAACCCAGGGATCCAACCCAGGTGTCCCACATTGCAGGTGGATTCTTTACCATCTGAACCAGGGAAGCTCAAGAATAATGGAGTGGTTAGCCTATCCCTTCTTCAGGGGAACTTCCCAATCCAGCAGTTGAACCGGGGTCTCCTGTATTGCAGGCAGATTCTTTATCAACTGAGCTACCCAGAAAGCCCCTTTTCTAGACATGTCAGCATATAATCAAGCATCAGTTCAATGAAGCAGATTGCCTGAAGTACTTAGCAGAAACAACGTAAATGAAAAGCATAAAAGCCCTGAGATTTTCTTTCCAAGTGGGCTGTTATATTCTAGATATGTTCAATCTTGTTGACTACAAAAAAGAGAAGTGAGTTTAATGTAGTGTTTGAGGGGGGACGTTAGGTGATAAACCTGAACGGAGTAACTATCTGTTTTGAGGCCACATTCCCAGTCAGGGTGGATCAGCTTGTGGGGAACATCCGGTATGATGGGGCGTTCCTCTTAGAGGGGTGACCCTGAGGGCTGTCCACGCCAGGGTGGCGTGTTAGGAGCTGGAAGGCTGGGGAATGCACGCTCTAGGCCAGTACCCCCTTTGCCCCATGACTTGGTGCTTGTTTCAAGTCACCAAGGCAAATAGGCGATTGAGGCTTTGGCCTTGAAGAGGTCAACATTCCCCATGGTCCAAGGTGAAACTCTCCACAGCTGCCACCTCCTGGCCCTCAACCCCTGTCAGCACTCACCCCTTCTCCTTGGGGAGGGTGCACCTAGTTGTCAAGATGGCATCTCATAGGACCATATTCTGGGGAAAATAGGCCAGATGGTGCCCCATCAACTGAGGTGATTCAAAGTATGCTCTGGTTCAGGGTGCTTTTCAACCATGAGTCATCTCTTTGAGTCCTTAATCAAACACTGCATTGACAAAACTTCATATTATAGCACAACTTGGGGAAGGACACTCAGTTGCCCACTCGTGGAGCCCCATCAGCAGGCTCAGAACCTTCCACTCACCGGGCTTCCGTGGCCCCTCTGTTCATGGAGTCTGTGTGGAAGCCATGAAGGAATTCCTGTGGACTTGGACCACACTCTTGACTCCCACCACTTGTTTATTCATCATTGTCTTTCTGACGGCCCAAGGCCAGTGTACGGATGCACAGCCCTCCACCCATGTGCAGTCCCAGACATAAGCAGTTCCACTGCAGAGAAGACACAGCTTTCCACATTTACCTTAATTCTCTCGTGTCCAAGGGCTTCATTCAGGGTTCTACCAGGAGAATGTGATCAGTCAGAGGGTTATGCATGAAACACACCCACAGCACACTCACACACACACACACACATAGGTACATTTTTAACACACATAAGTACATATTTATATACACATCTGTATACATGTACACACACATGTATGTATTGACTTATCACTAGGACTTGCCTTACCCAACTGATGGGGCAAGTTCAATGTCCATAGGGCAAGTCATCAGGAAGGGAGGATAAGCAAGGTGGAACTGTCATTAACAGCCAAGGGTCAGTCACTCCCCCGCCCCACCCCTCTTAGAAAAGTCTCAACCTCTTCTAAGAACTCTTGACTGAGTAAGTCAAGCCCACCCAGGATAATCTCCCTAAATAAAATCAACTAACTAAGAATTTTAATTACCTATCCAATATCCCTCCACAGCAGTACCATGATCACTGAGTCAGTAACACAGCAGTATCCTTCAAGTCAGCCAGGGTGACACATCAAAACGCTATCATCCCAGTAAACAGTAACCCAGCACTGTGAAGAAATAAGCCCCACTCACACCCCGTCCTTGTCCCAAGCAGCTGAAGCCCACTCCCCTACAGTGATTACAGAAATATCCAGAATTTAAGATTTAGTAGGTCTTTAGATTAAAGAAGAATGTCTAAAGAAATTGAAGAAAATATCAGTAAGACTACCAAAAAATCCAAAATACATGTGTGGATAAGAACCAAAACATCTTCCAAAGAAGCATAATAAACTTAGAATAAATATTAGCAGTGATCATATATATATATATATATATATATATATATACACCCATATAGGAGGTCAATATCTTTATAGAGAAATTATATAAATCAATAAAAGTTTTAGCTATCTAATAGGTTAGTGGGCATAGGATAGTTTATAGGAAAGAAAATATAAATAGTTCTTAAGCATAGGAAAAGCTGTTCTGTTTCACAATAAGAGAAATGAGAGTTAAAACTATGGTGCTCTCTTATGTCCATCTGTAAAACTAGCCCAAATAAACAAGTTTGGTGACACCACACAACAAGTGTGTGTTGAGTAAACTGTACTTTATTGGAGAAGTGTGAAATGGTACATGTCTAACATTGTATCATTGACATTCTGACATTCTAACATTCTAACACTGTATCATTGACAAAGTCTGGAAATAATTTAGAAATCAATGGGAAAGAAGTGAAATCACTTATGTTAAAATTCATACCATGATGGATAGTTGAGATATAAAGTCATTTCCAAAATGCAATGTTAATTGAAGATGACAAAGTCAGGCACATATATATGTGCTGATACAGTGTAGAATGTTCTAGAAGAATATAGCAAATACTTATAGCACTAGTTGCCTTGGGAGTAGGAAATGGCATGTCAAGGAGACCCATTTTTTCATTGAAACCCTGTTGTGCCTTTTAAAATTTGCCCCTCTTAAATTACTTAATCACTTTTAAAAGATAATTAAATATTAGAAGCTAATTAATCTGGTTAATACTGTGAAAACACTTTTCTGGCTAAACGAGGGCTGTTGTCTATTTAAATTTATAACAGCTTTGAAGTATGCATTGAACTTTCATAAAAGCCAAAAATATCAGTAGTTCATTGATAAAGAGAAGCATTATATGATTTAAGCAATGAATTAAAAATATTTTAATTGCTCACCAGAAATATTTTAGGAGACCTAATACTTAAAAATAAAAGAGGAATTTTCCATTATTTAACCAGTCATGAAAAAGACTTGTGAGAATTATGTCAAATATCCCATCTGTTAAGGTATAAATAACTTTCTTGAATTTGTTTATTTGTTCAATATGAATTGTTGTTTTTTAAATAATTCAGGCACAAAATGGACATGATAGAACCTGAATGAACTCTAGCATGCAGATAGTTAATGACAAATGTATTATGATTGGCAGAATATTATTAATCAGATAATTTTGAAATTTTATAACAAAAACTTAAGGGCAGGATAATTTTTAAGAGATTAGTAACATTTTAACACTTGAAAATATGAATGAATTTAACTGAAGAATAATACAAGTATAATCTACTCTCTCCTTGCTTCCTGCCATCACTTACTCTAAGGACTGGTAATCCTTACATGAATAAAATTCCTCCTATTAGCATTGGAATATTTTTCTTTGCTACTTTAAGTATGTAAACCAGTCTTTGTATTGAGGATGGCTGTCAGTTTGAACAACAGCAGCCTTAAAGACTGTGCTTCTGTTTCAGAGTTCAAAGGCACATTCTCTAAGATGAAACATAGCATTCACATTTGTCTTAGTTGTGGAAAAATGTTCTAGAATTTCAAATTAAAATTCATTTTTCATGTTTTATTCCAGCACCTACATTGCTGATTGGAACACTTTTAGACATTTTAACACAATTTACTAAGAATCAGCTAGGAGAAAGAAAGAAGGGGTTCTTAAATCATACTCATGTACTTGGTAATGTGGAAGCAGTGGACCAAACCCTGGAGAAAATGTTTCCACATCATTATAAAGGACCAGCTTTTAGATCTTTGCTTCTAAGGTGAAGGAAGATTAATTATGCCAGCCAAGTGCTTATTTTTATGGATCTGAAGCATACCAAAGATTATTTCAAGCCCTGGCCAAGGAGAGTCTGCCTTTAGCTCTGGAGCCTTGGACTGGGACCAAAGTCATTCCACTGAAAATCAGAACTGTGGTTTGGGCAGCTAAAATTTCTGAAGCCTACTGGCTCTTTTTGTCATTGCAGTGGTGACAAGCATTAAATGTATTGTCATCATTATTACTGCTGTTACCTGACTTGAAAATGTGTTTTAAGTCTAAAAATTAAGGTCTAGAAATGAAAATCAGAATACCTGGCAATCAATGTTCCCGAGTCAGGAAACTCTGAATTAGGTCCTTAAAAGCAATGCATTTTTCTCTTTTGCTCACTTCTGAATCTGTACCTCTTAAAAATAGGCACTCAAAGGATATTTGTCAAATATATTTTCTGCTTGCAGCTGAGTAGCCAACAAGAGATCAGGGATCATAACTCATAACCTGTGCTGTACGGTGCTTCGTCACCCAGTCGTGCCTGACACTTTTCAAGCCCATGGACTGGAGCGTGCCAGGCTCCTCCGTCCATGGGGATTCTTCAGGCAAGAATACTGGAGTAGGTTGCCATGCCCTCCTCCAGGGGATCTTCCCAACCTAAACAAATATTATTTTTATTATTGTGGAGTAATCTGTTTTTACTTGAATTTACAAAACTTAAAATTCTCAAATTGCTCTTTGGAAGGTGGAAAGCTAAAGTAGCTAGTGCCATCTAGTGGTGTCCTGCAGGTTTGACTTCAGTTACAAATGTCAGCAAAAGTAGCGGGAAAGCAACAGTCAACATTTCATTTATACCTTGTTCTCTATGTAGAAAAGGGGATGTTATTGATTAGGGCAGAATAGATGATAAAATACAGAGCAGAAATAATAATGACAGATTATGGAATGGATCAGCAATACATTTTTCATTAAATTAAAAGGCATTTCAATTCTAAGCATTAACAATACTTTCCCAATTTATCATTTTGCCTTAGAGTTCATTGTTTACAAAGCCCTCAAATCTTCTTTTCAATCAAGCATTTGATTCCATAGGGTTTTGCTGTTGTTCTACTGAATGGTAGAATCACCAAGTGCTTTGGGAAAGATGAAACTTGCATTTGTAGCTTCATCTTCAAATAAAGTCAATACGGCCTTTTTAACAGACACAGTAGAAAAACCTCCCATTCCTTCCAAAGAGGATTCTCTTTGGAGTGTATTTCCATTCTCTGTCCCAGTCAGGGCAGGGAGGGCCGAGGGGTCCAGGCAGGGAGCTGATGTGGTTATTGAGGGAAACTCAGGGTTTAGACTGCAAAGGCTGGTCTAAGTGGGCAGTATTGAAATGAAGCCCTTGAACCACCTCGGCTTAAAAGATGGGGTTCAACCTTCTCAAGAGGAGACCTGCAACCCATTTTCTTATCCATAGACAAGACAGACAAGGGATGAACACCACACAGCCAATCAGAGTACGCATCCCTCTGTGCAGGGCTGTAGGCAAACTGTGGCCATCACTACTGATTCCTACTCCTCATGCCCTAGTGTCTTTTTCAGTACTTTTTACATCCCACCTCTGTTTCTAAATTCTCCGTGGGAGGATTCATATTGCAGATCATTGCATTCTGGCTTCAAATGTAACAGCCTTTATGAAGTCTTTCTGCTCCGGAGAACATCTCGTCAGGGTGGAGGGGCTGCAGTCCTGGGATCCATCTCTAAGTGGGCAAAGAGTGGGAGGTCTTCCAGTGCAGAGAAGGGGTATTGATGCCTTCTCCTTGTCCATGATAGCTGGTCCTGGGGTTGTGGTTTTGCTGTTGAGTTCAGAATCTTCCTACCTCAAGGGAAAAAATCAGAGAAGTTGAAATGATAATCAATGTGAACCTAAAAGAGAATTTATTTTTTAGTTTGAAAACGATTTCAGCCTTGTAGTTTGATTACCAGAGGGGGCTAAGCAGAGCAGGAGTATGGCAAGCTTTGGGAATTACCTAGTTTCTCCTAGGACAGTTCTATTGGGACAGGGTAATTATATCATAAATAAAAAGTGAACGAACCGTATATCCAAGAGTCTTATAATCATATGTTAATTTTTTAAAGTGGTATATTGTTATTTGGAATTAGCCACACCTATGAATAGAAGAACTTGAGAGAGAACTCGTTTTTAAATCACATTAAAAGTGTTTGCATTTCACACCTCCCAGTCTGAAATTTATCTCCATTCACTCATTCATTCATGTTATGTTTGTTGAACACATTTTTATTTAGCAGTGGTTGAGTGAACAATTTAGCAACAAAGCTCTGATGCAGTGAGTAAATGACTATATCCCCTATAACTTATATTCTCTTTTCATTCTTCATACATCACAGCTGTTTCTATTAAACAGTTTGATAAGAATGCTGAGATAGTCATCAGAAAATGGATACAATGGCATTCCATTGACCCATAAGAGCGGATGTCCTTTGGCTTCTCAGAAGGGCCTTGGCCATGGTGAGCCGGGGCTCTATAGAGCTCGGTTAGCAGGAGGAAGACAGTTTCAGGAACAAGTGACCATGTCGCAGGAGTGATGCACTGTGACTTCATTATTGTACTTTTGGATCCCGAGCTGGGGATGTCAGGAAGGCAGGTGAACGTTTCGTGTGTGCCAGTAGATAAGCGACTGTGTAAAATTCAGCTTACTGTCTCTGTTTCTCTAAATTTCTCCAAAATATGGCAGTATCTCATTTCTTCATGGTCAGTGTTTGGGCACTGCTGGGGGAAGAAAAAAAGCAGGTATATAAAATTTCTTTCTACTCAACTCATGCCAAAAAGATGATTTGAATCGTGGTTTTCCTGTGAACCAAATTTAGTAATAATACCCTTGCTTGGGGGGCTTCCCAGTTAGCTCAGCTGGTAAAGAATCCGCTTGCAATGCAGGATGACCCTGGTTCGATTCCTGAGTCAGGAAGATCCCCTGGAGAAGGGATAGGCTACCCACTCCAGTATTCTTGGACTCCCTTGGTGGCTCAGACAGTAAATAATCCACCTGCAATGTGGGAGACCTAAGCTGGGTTGGGAAGATCCCCTGGAGGAGGGCATAGCAACTCACTCCAGTATTCTTGCTGGAGAATCCCCATGAACTCAGGAGCCTGGTGGGCTACAGTCCATGGGGTCACAAAGAGTCAGACATGAGTGAGTGACTAAGCACAGACCTTTGTTTTCAGTTGAGGATAAAGGTGGATCAGGCAGAATTGAGATAGAGACTTTTGGAAGGGAAAAGATATAGGAATATAACAGTGGATTTCCACCCCCCCCCCCCATTATTTCCTGCTGCAAATTGATGCAAATCAAATAAATAATAAGGAAAGTTGCCATTAATAATGGCCAGCAAGACTTTTTTATACACATCAGTTACCTACTCTGGGTACAAGGAAGAAATACCTTCCTTCAGGTTAGCAAAAATAGGCTTCCCTGTCTCAAAGGGTTGGTTGTTGATGATGATGATGATCGTGACAATTAACAGGTGGGGCACTAGACCCTGGGATGCTAGCAGCCACTTCGTCTCGGTACCTCTAGCTTACTGACCAGACCAGCACTACCCTCTGGCATTTACCCAAAGGTTGCTAGATCTCCACAGATTGTAAAGATGCATGTGGATACCGGGAATTCATGGATGCTTTAGAGTTGGGAAGTGGTTTGAAGCAGCTGGTGGATACTTAATGTTTCTTTTTCAATAACATCTCTGTAATATTAGAAAGGATTAATGGAGGAGACTGAATCCAAGGGGATAATGAAAATCCTCAGCATCTTTTAGCAAGTGGAAGTAGGATTTGAAAGGGCCTTGGGAATTCCACCGAAACAGTTCTGCTTAATTCTCTCACAACACCCCCTGGGATCCCTGCAGGCCCCTTCTGTTATAGGAGCATGAGCTTTATTTAGCCTTCACAGCAACCCATCAGTTGCCCGGAGAATGAGATAAGCCATGTCGTCCTTGTTGTTGTTTTCCTGTCTCTTTGCCCGGTTCCTTCCTTTGTCTTCCCTGCTTACGTTAAGATGTGATTATTTGAAAATAAAAATTAGTGTGCAGGCCAACTCAACAGTGTTATTCATGAAGAAAAATGAGCTGTTATCATTTGTGTGCCTCAGGCCTCCACATCCCCAGGGAACCAGGCAGATAGTTCTGCAACATTCAACCCTTACGAGCCAGACCGAGGGCCGTGGGCCAACGAGAGAGGTAAGAGCTGCCCCTTTAGTCCTGGGCGTTCACAGCGCGAGGATGCCTCCCACAGCCCCTCGCAAATGGCAGGGCCGGCTCACCCTGCTGTCGGCGGCTGTTACAGCGCTGCCTAGCAGGGAGTGACCCTGTCATCTGGTGGCAGGTGGAAGATGCCACGTGTCTGCGAGTAGTGGTGTCTGTTGGATGAAATGGTCTGTACAGCCTCCCTCACAGTAAATCAGCCATGTTGAAAATATCCTTCAAACCCAGTGCTTCAGACTGTCTCACCTTTTCCAGTAATAACTGACGCTACTTAAAGTTTCCATTTCTAAGCTCTGTTCTTGAAAAGATATCTGTGTCCAGGAGTAAATTCAAATGGAAGTCCAGCAACGGGTAGCTGGTAAAAACTGAAGAAATGTCTAAGTTTGGGGATTCTAGACACGTTCAGGGAACTGCAGCGATTCTGTGAGGCCAGGAGAGGAAGCACCCCTCCAAACTCACAAGGCCTCTGTTATACTGGTCAGAAATGGGGCCTCTGGATCAGCTTCTTAGGTTTTCTAGGCGGACCCAGGTTTTTTGTGTTAGTTGGTAAACTTGATCTATTTAATGCTACAAAAAATCAACCCTAAACTTTGTAGCTTAAATCAGCAGCAGTTATTGAATTATCTCATGCAGGTCAGGAATCTGGGCAAGGCTGAACCCGGCCGTGGCAGCATGGGGCCTCTTGCAGGCAGATCGGGGGTGGAGCTGGGCCAGCAGGAGTGGAGACTATGGTGGGACTAGAACCGGCCTCAGGGCATGGAGGCCGGCCAGCATCTTTCATCTCCAGGGTACGGAGCCTCAGATGCTCTTCATCTGGTCTCTCCACCTGGACTGGCTGGGGCATTCTCACAGCATAGAAGGAGCCAGGGCAGTTAAACAGCTGCACGGAGTCTGAAGCTTCAAGATTCCCAGCAACCCAGACAGAAGGTGCATGACCTTTAGGACCTGAGTATATCACAAATATCACTACTGATGTACTCTATCAGTGGACATGCTTACAGAAGCCACGGAGGGGAGGTGATGTAGACCCCGCCTCTCAGTGAAGGAGGGCCAGATTTTCAGAGTTTAAAGGCACCACAGTCCATTAGGAGGCCACATCCCAGGAGATGCTAATGATAAAGAATCTACCTGTCAGTGCAGGAGAGGCAAGAGATAGAGGCTCAGCCCCTGGGTTGGGAGGATCCTCTGGAGTAGGGGGTGGCAGCCCACTCCAGTATGCTTGCCTGGAAAATTCCAGAGGAGCCTGGCAGACTACAGTCCCTGGGACCCCAAAGATTTGGACATGACTGAGCACATCCGTCTCTTGCTGCTGACAGGAAAACTCTTTCTTGATGTACATTAGTGCAAGAACAGGAGTCAAGTACAACAAAGATGAGGGCCTTTTTCCTACCCTGCCATAGCCGGGAAAGGCTATGTCTCGAGTGCTCACAGGCTCTATAAATGCCCAAGGTAACCAAGATCACAAAAGGCAAGGCACGACCCCAGGAGGCAAGAGCAGGGGACGATGGCAGTTTCACGTGGGATCAAGTTCACGGGCTGTAAGTTTCTTAACTCCTTTTCAGAAGCTCAGAGAGAAGCCTTGCCCATGGACACTGAGGTCTACGAAAGCCCCTATGCAGACCCCGAGGAGATCCGGCCCAAGGAGGTCTACCTGGACCGGAAGCTGCTGACCCTGGAGGACAAGGAACTGGGCTCTGGGAACTTTGGGACCGTGAAGAAGGGCTATTACCAGATGAAAAAGTAAGTTAAAAGTTTGCACCATTTCCCTGCACTTATTCTCACATGAGCTTACATTCTAGAAACTACCACATATACATGTATCATGTTCTTTTAATCCCGGACACAAAATGTAACCTGACATGGCTAAATGCTTTGTGATTGACCATGTAATTTTTGTTCATTTCTGGTACAATTACAATGAAAATATCCATTATATATATTAACTGTGTATGTAATAGTTATGTACATATTAGTTAAGATGTATTGTGTGTCCCTTATAGAGAATTAAGAAATAGAGTCAATGACAATATAAGAAAATAAAAACATCATATTTTACCACCCAAACATAACTGTTAACAAACCTGAGTGTGTATAATTTTTAGATCTTTATATGCACATGCATACACATATGTATTATTTAAGATGCAGTCATTCATTGATAACAGTGTTTTCCCTTATTTTCTTTGATTTTTAAAAATTGTGTCTCATTTCTCTTAACCAGAAAATTCTTGATGACAAGTGTCATTAGTATAATTTTTTATTTGCTCTAGTCTATAATTTCAAAGAGCAGTATGTATTATGTGTGTGCACGTGCGTGTTAAGTTGCTCCAGTCGGGTCCAATTCTTTGCAACCCCATGGACTGTAGCCCGCCAGACTTCCCTGTCCATTGGACTCTTCGGCCAAGAATACTGGAGTGGGTTGCCATTTCCTTCTCCTGAGGCTCTTCCCAACCCAGGGATTGAACCCATGTCTCTTATGTCTCCTGCATTGGTAGGAGGGTTCTTTACCACTAGCACCACCTGGGAAACCCTAGTATGTATTATATAACAATTAAAATTGCTAGATTACTAAAAATCTCTTTGTATTTTATTTGGTGCTTAGAAGGTATCTGTCGTGGAATTTTCAGTAAGATTATTGGTTTCTAAAGTCCTTTAAAACAAATCCCCTGAAAATCTATGTCCAAGCTAGGATGTTACTGATATGAATATAATTGGGTTTGATTGTTTGATGCTGTTTTAAATTTAAGGAATTTGTATACAGTTTTTTCTTGAGTAGATAATTTACATGGCTCAAGGGTCAAAAATACATGCTAGAGTATGCACAGACACCTATGCTTTTAATCCTGCCCCTTTCACTATTTGTGTTTATATATGTACATATATGTTGTTCAGTCACTAAGTCATGTCTAACTTTTGGGGGATATATGTATATATATATATATATATGACATGTGACAGATATATAAAGTCATATATATATATATATATATATATATATGACTGCTATGCTTACTTTTAAATAAATTAATATGATATATGTCCATTATTTTATAAAATTAATATAAATTATCCTGTATTAAGGCATAAATTTTCTCAACGAGTTTGTAATACTCAATTCCCTACTTAATTAAATATGCAAATTGACATGGACATAACTATACATACATAATTTCAACTAGAGATGTGGAGAGAGGAGAGGCCATATAGGTTAACTGGGGGCAAAATGATATCTTTACAGTATTGAGTCTTCATATCAATAAGCATGACCCATCTTTCCATCTACTTAGGTCTTTAATTTCTCTGAGCAAAATTATTTAGTTTTTTGTGTAGAGGTCTTATACAGCTTCTTTGCTGGAGTCATTCATAGGTATTTACTATTTTTGGTTTTAATATATGTGGTATAGTTTTAAAATTTTTACTTGCTATTCCTTGGCATTGCTTGAATGCAATATGATTTTGTCTGTTTGCCTGATGTCCAACAACTTTTCTTAAAGTCTTCTATTATTTTTCACTCATTATTTCCAGTAGTTTATTTGTGTTTTGTTTGACCCAGAAATATATCACCTATAAATAACAACAGTTTGATTTCATCCTGTCCAATTGTTATACTTTTATACTTCTTCTTTGCCTGTTGTATTAACTAGAAACTATGGTTCAATGTTAAATAAAAGTGCCAGTGGTCACATTCCTCATTCCTGATTTCAGGGGGAAAACTTTCAATATTTCACCACTAAGTTCACAGCTGCCCTTTATCATATTATGGAAGTTTCCTTTTATTTCTACTTTTCTGAGATATTTGTTTTTAATCATAAATGTGTGTTACATTTTTTCTTTACTTTTTCTCCTCTGCTGATAGGGCCACAGTCTTTTTCTTCTTTATTGTGTTTGTGGATGAATTACACTGATTGATTTTCAGCTGTTAAACCTTGCATTCCTGGAATAAACTTATCTTATTCATGAATTATATATTCACTATATCTTTCTCATAAAACATTGAAGTAAATTTTCTAATATTTCCCTTTGAATTTTTGCATCTACATTCATGGGAGATATCAGTAAATTATTTTCCTGTAATTTCTTTGTCTGGTTTTGGCATCAGGTTAATGCTAACTTCATAAAATGAGTTGGGAATTTCCCTTCCTCTTTTTGTTTCTGGAAGAGTTTGTGAATGTTCTTTCTTCCTTAAACACTGGAAGAATCAAGAGATTTGTGCTTGTTAATTCTGACCCCTACCTCACACCATACATGAAACTAGTTCCAGATGGATGGTAGACTGAAATGTGAAAGGTAAAACAATAAACTATCTAGAGATGGCATAAGATTATATTTCCTTGATCTCAGGAGGAGAATGCAGAGGCTTCTTAGGTAGTGGAGAGGTTCTGTACTTCCATCTATGTAGGAACTACATCTTGTGTCTAATGTGTAAATACTCTTGAGTTCTACACTGCAGCTATATGTTCTTTTCTGGATGTATGTCAGACTTACTCTGTTATTCTGTTATTTAACCTATTTTATTTGATACTTCTGTTTTTATTTTCTACTTTTGAAGTTCAACAAAAGAGTTATACTTCCTGCATTTGTGGGAACTGTATAATGAAAAGGTGCAGTTTTTCAAATCGTACATAGTTAAGTGCTATGTATTTATTTAAGCTCCACTATGTCAGAATATTTTCAAGAGTTCAAACATGACTTAGATGATGCTTTTATTCGAAAATGGAAAAGAATTAGTTTTTTTCAAACTTGTTGAAGCATGCTTAAAATTAGCAAAGCTCAGTTTTTAGAAGTGTTTTGTAAATTATAAGCTTCAACAGTGTATGATTTTTAATTCTGCAGCTAGAAATTCATTGTAACATATATTAAAGGCATGTTGTAATTACATACATTACACATAATGATGTGATACATCTCAAGATGTTACCGGAATCTATGCATGTCATAGTTTTTAAAGGTTTATTTGAAAGTTATTTAAATATTCTACAGTGCATCAGCTTTCTGGTTGGTTACGGCATTCTTCAGCACTCTCCTATTATTTTCAACTAATTAGGTATTACTCTCTGTCTATAAAATGAGAGAACATGATTGAAGAATTAGCCATGTACAACATGGCTTCTTCAGACACATTTCCTCTCTGTGGCAGGTATTTCCATAACATCATTTCCAGCACAGGGATTATCCTTCATGGAAGATAATTACCTATACGTGAGCCACTTTGAAAAGTTTCTTATGTGTTCCAATTTCTTTTGCAGAGTTGTGAAAACAGTGGCTGTGAAAATCCTGAAAAATGAGGCCAATGACCCTGCTCTTAAGGATGAGTTATTAGCAGAAGCGAACGTCATGCAGCAGCTTGACAACCCTTACATTGTGCGCATGATAGGGATATGTGAAGCTGAGTCCTGGATGCTGGTCATGGAGATGGCAGAACTTGGTCCACTCAACAAATATTTACAACAGAACAGGTATCCTTAGGTGCCCCAGCAGCTCATAGGTGAGGGTCAGGGCCTGCCTGCCCAATGCACATCATAGCCTGATTTCTTCCAGAACCCTTGTCTCCTCCCATGCCTTCCCAGAGTTGGCCACTCAGGGACCTTGAGTGGGGAGGTTCAAGAGCTGTAGTCTTTGGATCAAGTGTTCTTTAACTCTTAATACATAAAGAAAAACTCTAATTCAACAATTTGGACTCCTTTGCTCACGTCATACTGGCCTGGTGATAGAGTCAGCTCTAGACTATCTTGGCAAGCATTCCCCTCTCACCAGGCAGAAAGAATGTACTCTTTTAAAAGAAACAATTAAATAAACATTTTATATGGGAAAACAGTGATATTTTACATATCTGGCTGACTACTGCATTCCCATAAGTAATTATTTTTTAAAATATCCATTGCTGTTAACTCATTGCAACCATCAATGGAGTAATCATGCTATGCTCATCTCCAGCCATGGTTGAGATAGAGAGTCATGAGGAATAAATCATAACAGCCACTGATTTCTTTATCCCATTTGCACCTATGTTTGTACTTAAATGGGACTCAGGGTTGGCGTTCTTACCTTTTCAATATTGGAATGAGGGTTCTAACTGAATCCTGGTTCTCCATGAGCCAGGTCTGACCACCCTGTTATACTACTTTTCATGTAATTCAAAGCACACATTGAAAACTCTAGCAGCTGAATACCAGTCACCACCACTTATGACTCTTGCTTTAGAAGAATAGGAAATAAGTGAGTTCATATTCTCTGTATGAGAAGCATGGTTGGTTGTTCTGAAATGGACTCCTGTTCACTATCACTAATGACATATGTGTGACTTTCAGGCATGTCAAGGATAAAAACATCATAGAGCTGGTTCATCAGGTGTCTATGGGAATGAAATATTTGGAAGAGTGCAATTTTGTGCACAGAGATCTGGCTGCAAGGAATGTATTGCTGGTTACTCAACATTATGCCAAAATCAGTGATTTTGGACTTTCCAAAGCACTTGGTGCTGATGAAAACTACTATAAGGTATGAACAACTTACCCACCATTCAGAGCAGCTGGTAGTAAAAATCTGAAATGCAAATATATGTTTTCTTTATTTTGTTTTGGTAAGATTTCAAGAAGCAATTTCCCCATAGAAAAATAACTGTGTAAGAAATGTTCTTCTTAAGCTTTGATTCTATCGTTAAAAAGATGGAAATACTCTAATATGTCACAACTTGAGATTTACTCAGAATAGTATCTTCAAACTGTGTTCCTTAGAACAATAGGGAATCAAGGTATTAATGATGATTCATCTGGAAAAAAACAAGAATAGAATTTATTTGTTAAATTACTTTGGAAAATACGTATTGGACGGGTTGACTCTAGTAGGATTTTTCAAAGCTCCTCTATGAACCCTCAAATGAGCTAATAGCAAGTAAAAGAAGGGAAAAAAGTCCTCATATGAACTCAGAGTGTATGTAGAGTCTACCCTGACCCACTGGAAAATGTAACAGAGACCAGATAGTAGAAAAGGGTGTCAAGAACATGTTCTCAGTTCTTCATGTCCCTGGGAATGTCCAGCAGTCTTAGAAATAGATGACATACCCTGATGACCTAACTAGTGAATGGCAGGATGAGAGTTGTGGAGTTTCCCTGAGTGCCACACCACAAAGTGACTGGAGAAGACACCTAAGTGACCACATACACCCACCCATGCTTTCTCTGAGAGACAGCAGTGGGTATGGCAGATGGTGATGGATAGCAGATCTTAGTCAGCTAAGGGTCAGCACAAAGGCTGAGCAACAGAAGCAGAGCTCCCATCACAGCTCCTCACTCCATTCTTCATAGACAAGCTGGCCCAGAGAAGCCACTTCAGAAATGAGCAAGAATGTGTAAAGCATCAGATGATCCCTTTGATGGGACTGCTAGGAGATGCAGCAAAGGAAACAATAGCCCTCAAGTAATAACCACACATTCACACCAGAAAAAAACCGATTTTAAAGTTAGAGATACTTTGGAACATACACTTCATGATGATAAGTAGGAAGAAGAAAATACAGACTATCTAAAGCAAGGGCTTAAAGAGGAGACAGAGAAGTTGAGATAACAAATAGTCCCAAAACTTAGTGCATTAAAACAACACCAAGCACTTATTTACTCTCAATTCTGCAGTGTGAGCAGGGCTTGGTGGAAATGGTGCATCTCTGCTCCAACAGTGTCATGCAGGTGGTTCCAAGAGGTCAGGAGGATTTATTTCCACTCTGCTCACTCACATCACTAATGACTGATTTGACATGGGCCATGATCTGGGACTTTCACTGGTCTGCATCCATTTAACAATAACTTATCTACATGTGGCCTCTCCATGTACCTCTGGACTTCCTCACAGCATGGTGACTGGGTCCTGAGACCAAGTTACTCAAGAGGCAGGAAGTAGAGATTGTCACACTCCTAACTTCAGGGCCTAGGAACTGGCTTAGAGTCTTGTCCGCTTACTCTATTGGTCAGAGCAACCACAGATCACCCATATTCAAGGCAGAAGGGAGGAATGTCAAAGAATATGAGGGTCAATTTTTCCAACTGCCACTGATATTAAACAGCATATTTTGAAAAGGGAATAAGCAGATCTCTGAAAATCTATAAAGAAGGGGAAGAAAATATAGAAGACAGGATAGAAATAAAAGGCAATGGATCAGGAACAAGACAGTGGGGTAGGAGATCCAGATTCTGTCCTCCAAAAACAATCAATGGTCAGATAGCTATCCATGAATGAAACAGCTTTGAGAGAACTCTTGTTGTTCAATTGCTCAGTAATGTCTGACTCTTTGCAACCCCGTGGACTACAGCACGCCAGGCTTTCTTGTCCTTCACCATCTCACAGGGCTCCAGGGAGAACTCTGGAGTCCACTTAAAATGCGTTAGCAACACAGCAGAATGAAAAACATGAGAATAACTGCACTAAAAGGAAAAAACAATAGCTTTATTTTGCCTGCATCATCCCATCCTTCAGGTCAGTATTACTCAGTGTCAGGCGAGAACCCAGCTAGAAAGAGTTCTCTTCACCAGGAAAGGGAAAGCCTCAAGAATTCCAGACACCTATCTCTGACTTCTTATCAACCTGCCTAGGAATTGATTCTCTCAGGACTTCCCCAGTGGCCCAGTGGTTAAGAATCCACCTTCCAATACCGGGAACATGGGTCCAATCCCTGGTCGGAGAACTAAGATCCCACATACTTCAGGGTAGCTAAGCCTATGCACCACAACTAGATAGCCCATGCACTGCAATTGGAGAAAGCTTGCATACCACGACAAAGGCTCAACACAACCAAAACCTTTCTTAAAGAAAGGAATGGGGAAAGCCTACAGGACTTATGGGACACCATAAAGCAAAATGAGTTATGTATTATTGAAGTCTAAGAAGAGAGAATGAAAGGGGCAGAAAGCTTGTTTTTAGAAATAATGACTGAGACTTCCAAAATCTGAGGAGAGATTTGGGCGTCCAAGTTCATGAAGCTCATAAGTCCCAGATAAATTCAGTTGAAAGAGATCTTCTCCAAGACACACAATAATAAAACTGTCAAAAATCAGAAAAAGAATCATAAAAGCAGCAAGAGAAAAAAAAAATCTTGTCACTTACAAGGAAGCTCCCCCTAAGGCTACCAACAGATTACTCAGCACACATCTATAAGCCGTAAGAGAGTAGAATGATAGAGTCAATGTACCAAAAGAAAAAAAAAAGAAAACATGCCAACCCAGAATACTATATATCCCAAAGAACGCTTTATGTCCTTCAGAAATGAAAATGAGATAAAGACTTTCCCAGCCAAAAAAAAGCTGAGGGAGTATATTACCACTAGACCTATGTTACAAGAAATTGAGTCCTTCAAGCTAAAATAAAAGGAAGCTAATTAGTAACATGGAAAATATGAAAATATAAAGCATACTGATAAAGGTAAGTATATAATCAAATTTAGCATTCCCCATTACTATAATATGGTGTTGTGTTAATCACTTGATGCTGGCATAAGGGATAAAGGACAAAAATATTAAAAATAGCTATGGCTACAATAATTTATTATTGGATATATGATATAAAAAGACTTTAATTGTGATATTGAAAACATAGCATGTATGGGGAAGAGTGAAAGGGTAAGAGTATTTGCATACAATCAAAGTTAAGTTGTTATCACCTTAAAATAGATTTTTATTTGTAAGATATTGTATGTAAGCCTTAGGGTAACCACAAGGAAAACACTTGCAGTAGATGTGTAAAAAATAGAGCAAAAGAAACTAAATATACCACTATGGAAAATCATCAAATCACAAAGGAAGACAACAAGAGAGGATGAAATAAACAAAGGAAATCTAAAATATCCAGAAAACAATAATATGATATTACTAAATCTTTACCTGTGAATAATGATTGTAATTGTAAATGGATTAAATTTGTCAATCAAAAACCATAGAGTAACTAAAAGGACAAAAAAAAAAAAAGACCCAGCTAATATGCTGCCTACAAGAGACTCATTTCAACTTTAAGGACACACAAAATCTCCACGTGAAGAGGTAGAAAAATATATCCCTTACAAATGGAAACCAAAAAGTAGCAAATGTACCTATGTTTATATCATACAAAATAGACTTCAATCTAAAAACCTTATCCAGAGACAAAGGAAGTCAGTCATCATATAATGGTAAAGGGGTCAATTCATAAAAAAGATATAATAATTGTAATATACATGCCCCAACATTGGAGAACCTAAATATATATTAAGCAAATACTAACATATATGAAGGGAGAAATAGATAACAATATAATTGTGGGAGCTTTCAATACCCCACTTTTAACAATAGATAGGTCTTACAAACAGAAAATCAGTAAAGAAACATTGGACTTGACCTATACTTTAGACCAAATGGACAAGACAGAATTCATAAGAGAATTCTACCAAACATATCAAAAAGAATTAATGCCCAAAATGGAAGAAGAGGAAATACTCACAAATTCATTTTACAAGGCCCATGTTCTCTTGATACCAAAGCCAGATATAAGGAAAAAAAAGTATAGGCCAATATCCCTGATGAACTTAGATGCAAAAATTCTCAACAAAATACTAGCAAACTAAATTTAGCAACACGTTACAAAGATCACACATCATGGTGAAGTGGGATTTACTTCTGAATGCAAGGATAGTTCAATATATGCAAATCAGTAAATGTGATTATTAACATATAATCACATATTATATGAATTATATTATATTAACAGAATGAAGGATAAAAATCATATGGTCATCTCTTTAGATGCATAAAAGGCATTTGATAGAATTCACATCATTTCATGATAAACAGTCTCATAAAGGTTGGTGTAAAAGGAACATACCTCAACACAATAAAGGCCATGTAATGGCAAGCCCACACTGACGTCAAACTCAGTGGAGAATGGTTGAAAGCTTTTTATCTAAGATCAGGAATAAGATGAGTGCTTATTAAACAGTACTGGAAGTCCTAGCCAGAGCAATTAGGGAAAAAAAGGCTTATGTATCAAAGTTACCTCAATTTTAAAAAAGAAATAAAAGGCATCCATACCTGAAACGTAGAATAAAGTTGTCTTTATTTACAGATGACATAATCTTATACAGTTGACCCTTGAACAACACACATCTGGATTGTGCAGGTCCACTTGCACATGGATTTCTCTCACCAAGTCTGTACTATAGCACTACACATTTCACTATTGGTTGAATCTATAGATGCAGAACCATGAAGATGGAGAGCCAACTGTAAGGTTATACATGGATTTTTGAGTATATGAAGTGTTGGCATCCTGAACCTCCACATCATTTAACCCCTACATTGTGTACAGAAAACCCAAAGACTGCATCAAAAAGGTGTGAAAACAAATAAACAAATTCAATAAAATAGCAAAACACAAAATCAACATACAAAAATCAGTTGCATGTCTATACACTAACAGTGAACTATCCGAAAAAGACATGAAGGAAAATCTTTCATTTACAATTGCATTATAACAATAGATATTTAGGAATAAATTTAGCCAAGAAAGTTAAAAGATCTACAGACTGAAAATAAGACATTGATGAAAAATTGAAGAATACACAAATAAATGGAAAGATATCCTGTGTTCATGGATCAGAAGAGTTAATATTGTTAAAATTACCATACTACACAAAGTCATCTACAGATTCAATACAAATCCCTACAAGAATTCCATTTTTCACAAAAATGGAAGAAATAATCCTAAAATTCATATGGAATCCCCAAAGACTCTGAATAGGCAAAGCAATCCTCTGAAATAATGAAGCTGGATGCATTATGCTTCCTGACTTCAAACTATACTACAAAACTATAGTAAACAAAACAGTGTGGTACTGACATAAAAACAAACTTGAAAACCAATGGAACAGAAGCAATAGCCCATAAAACTATTCATATATAGTCAAGTAATATTTGATAAGGGAGTCAAGGATATCTAATGGGGAAAAATACTCTTCAAAAACTGAATATTCACATTCAAAAGAATGAAATTGGACCCCTGGACTATAACACTCACAAAGCTTAACTCAAAGTGGATTAATGAATTAAATGTAAGACTTGAAACTATAAAACTCCTAGAAGAAAACTTATGGAAAATGCTCCTCAGCATTGGTCTTGGCAATGATTTTTTTTGGATATGACACCCAAAGTACAAGCAACAAAAGCAGAAATCAACAGGCAGGACTACATCAAACTAAAAAGTTTTCTGTATAGAAAAAGAAACAATCAACAGAATTAAAGGTCAACCTAGAGAATGGGAGAAAATGTTTGCAAACCATCTACCTTGGATAACTGGTAATTATCCAAAATATATAAGGAACTCATACAACTCAGTAGCAAAAAATCCAAATGTTTTTTAAATGGGCAAAGGACCAGAATGGAAAGATTCTATTTTTCCTATATTTCTATAACAAAAGAAGGCCTACAGATAGCCAACAAGTATGTGTAAGGGTATTCAGCACCACTAAGCAACAGAGAAATGCAAATCACAATGACCATATGTTTCCTCATACCTGTTTAAATGGCTGTCACCAAAAAGATAAGAGGTAGAAAATGTTATTGAGGATGTGGAGAAAGAGGAACCCTTGTGTACTATTGGTAGGAATATAAATTTGTGCAGTCACTATGGAAAGCAATGTCGAGTTTCTTCAAAAAATAAAAATAGAACTATTGTTATCATTAGGCAGTCCCATTTCCAAGTATGTATTCAAAGATAATGAAATCGCTATCTGGTAAAGATATCTTAACTCTCCTGTTCATTGCAGTATTATTCACAATGGCCAAGACATGGAAACAACCTAATATCCATCAACAGATGAATGGATAAAGAAAATGTGATGTGTGTGTGAGTGTGTGCATGTGTGTGTGTGTGTGTGTGTGTGTGTGTATGTTGTCTTAAAACTGTGGACAAATACATGGGATATATCCAGCCATAAAAAAGAAGGAAATCCTGCCATTTGAGACAACATCAACATACCTTGGGGGCTTTCCTGGTGGCTCAGCTGGTAAAGAATCCGCCTGCAATGCAGGAGACTCTGGTTCAATTCCTGGGTTGGGAAGATCCCCTGGAGAAGGGATAGGCTCCCCACTCCAGTATTCTTGGGCTTCCCTGGTGGCTCAGGTGGTAAAGAATCTACCTGCAACCTGGGTTCAATCCCTGGGTTGGGAAGATCCCCTGGAAGAGGGCATGGCAACCCACTCCAGTATTCTTGCCTGGAGAATCCTCATGGACAGAGGAGCCTAACGCTAAAGTCCATGGAGTCACAAAGAGTTGGACACAACCTAGCGACTAAGCACAGCACAGCACACAGACCTACCTTGAGGACATCATGCTAAGGGAAATAAGTCAGAGAAAGACAAATACTATAAGATCTCACTTCTATGGTAGAATCTCAAAAATGCTAAAGTCATAGAATCAAAGAGTAGATTGTGGTTGCCAGGAGCTGGGAGGTGGGGGAAATGAGAATATTGGTCAAAGGGTACAAACTTCTAGTTATAAAATAAATTCTGGAGCTCTAACCTATAGTATGGAGCCTAGAGTTAAGAGTACTACATTGTATGTGCCCATACTCATTTGTGTCCAACTCTCTGTGACCCCATGGACTGTAGCCCACCAGGCTCCTCTGTCTATGGTGTACTCTAGCCGAGAATACTGGAGTGGGTTGCCATTTTCTTCAAGGGATCTTCCTGACCCAGGAATAGAACCCATATCACCTGGGTCTCCTGCATTGGCAGGTGGATTCTTTACCACTAAGCCACCTGGTAAGTCCACTACATTGTAAACTTGGAAGTTACTAAGAAAGTAGATCTTAAATGTTCTCACCATTTCAACAACAACAACGAAAAAATGGTAATCTTGTCAGGTGAAGAATGTGTTAACTAATCTTATTGTTGTAAATATTTTGCAGTATATACATGTCTCAGTCATCATACTGTGTCAAAAAAAAAGCCGTATTAGAAGCAACCAAAAGAAACTGCACACACATAAAAAGATGGGAACATGAAGAATTTCTTTAAGAAAACAAAGTGAAATGAAAAACTTTAAAAAGTTAAGAAAGATTAAAGAGAGATGATAGTGGTAGAAGCAGATTAGCTGGGCTCTTGGAGATCTCTGCATGGCAACATGAACTTGTGCAGCACCAGGACCATAAACACAAATGCCCTTTGATCCAGCAACTCCTTACAAGTACTCCATACACAAGGCAAATACACACCGTCAGTAATGTTCATTCTAGCATGATGTGTAAGAGCAAAAATCAGGAAAAAAACTCAATGACCTCTCAGCAGGAGGCTGGCTAAATGAATCATAGCAGATTTATGGAAAGCATGCAATTAACTCTTCTAAAAGTGATTTCCTTTGCAAGTGCTGACAGAAATATATCTATGACACATGGCTAAGTAGAAAAATTGAAAAGTAAAGTATAAGAAGTATATGCCTGTAGCTGGATTACCGCTCAAAAAAACATGTATTATTTATTTATACTTGTATATAGATTTTTCTGGAAGGACTCAAGAAAAATAATCAACCATGCTGTCTCTGTTGATGAGGACTTGGAGTTTGTGGTGGAAAGACTCACTTTCCATCATATTTAGGATTTGTCAAAGGTTTATCTTGTAATCAAAATTCAGAATAAACTTGAAATAACATACATGACTAGATTGTTCAAAAAAATCTGAAATCAAAATCTACAAATAGTGCATAAAATGAATGAGACAGATGTATAAGCAATGTGCCATTTAGAGAAGTGTGCTGGCATCAATGATCTCAGATTAAAATCCCTGAGTTGTCCCCCTCTGGCCACCATAGGGCAGCTGGCCTCCCACTGTCCACCCCAAGAGATGCCACCAGGGTTATAGTGACTTCTAGGGGAGCAAGACATCCATGTCACACTGAACCTCATGTCCCTCAGAAAGGGTTTTTCTGGGCAAAATTTTGATCTTTTCACCACCACTTGCTTTTTTAAACTAGAAAGTTTGCAACTTTGTTTAAATGATACTAGGAAACCATCTCCCCCAAAATAATCAGTGCTGACTTAAAACTGTAGACAAACTTACAATAATAGTTAAATATATTGTAAACAGCCCAGTAGTTCTTGGAACAAAACCATTAAGTAATACTCAGGCCTGACTCTTCCATTGTCATGCCAAACTCCAAGAAGCTGTGAGCAACCAGAGTTGAGACAAAGAGACTTAGAAGATATAAAAAATTTGGTCCGAATCTTAACAATACATATTTAAATCTTAAAACTTTAAGATTTAATCATATTTTAAGATTCAGACAGAACATATATATACACAGGCATTTTGTGTCATAATTTTATTGATTTTTAAAATTGCAGTAAAATATACATAACGTCTGGAGGAAGAAATGGTAACCCACTCCAGTATTCTTGCCTGGAGAATCCCATGGACAGAGGAGCCTGGCAGGTTATAATCCACAGGGGTGCAAAGACTCGGACACAACTGAAGCAACTTAGCACGAGCATACACAACTGAAATTTTACCATCTTAACCATTTCAAGAGTACAGTTCAGTAATGTTCATTCACGTTGCTCACAACCAGTCTCCAGAATCCTTTTCATCTTCCCAAACTGAAACTCTGTACCCATTAAACAGCTACTCTCCATCTCTCCCCCTCCTCTGGCCCCAGGCAACAGTTATTCTACTTTCCGTCTCTGTGACTCCAGAGGTCTCAGTTGTGTGGAATCATATATTAGTCCTGTAGTGACTTGACCAGCTTATTTCACTGAGCATAATAAAAGGTAACTGCATGGTTCATCTATGTCATGGCATCTATCAGAATCCCCTTCCTTCTTAAACGTACATCCACTGTATCAGTATACCCCATTTTGTGTATCCGTTTATTTGTCAATGGACACTTGGGGAGCTCACACCTTTGGTTGTTGTGAATAGTGCTGCTATGAACAAGCATGGTGTGCATCATTTTATTCTTAATGGAACACCTCCATTTGCCTGGTTTTCAGGCCCAGACCCACGGAAAGTGGCCTGTGAAGTGGTACGCTCCAGAATGCATCAACTACTACAAGTTCTCCAGCAAGAGTGATGTTTGGAGCTTCGGAGTGTTAATGTGGGAAGCGTTTTCTTATGGGCAGAAGCCGTATCGGGTGAGTTACTTGTGCTTCATTTCCTAATTATCAGGCCATCAGAACAGATACGCACCAGATTATCTTTACAGGACCCTGAAAAACATCAAATTTGGTCACCTTTCCTGAGTCTGTATCTTTTGAGAATGCAGTTAATGTGATCTCAATTTATTCTAAACTGAAAGAAATATTTGAAACTATCTGGACAATATATGTGTTTTTTTTTCATTGTGTATTATACACATAAATATGCATTAATGTGTCAACAAAAATTCAGTTATCTATCAAGTTCAGAAGGAAAAAAGGGAGTTTTATTTGAGCCAAACTGAGGATCATAACCCAGGAAGCAAATTCTTAGAAGGCACTGGGAGTTATTCCACCTGTTAAAAGCTGAAGGCACAGTCTTTGAGACAAGATTGTTTGAGACAAAAGATTATACATCAAAATGACATACTCGTTCAGTAAGGATACACAGTCCAGGTAAGCATGTACAAAGGGAGCAGCAAGTCACCACGACCCCCTACAGAGCTAAGAAAGAACACTATTTTTTAAAGAAGTGACATTGCCAGTGTCAGAAGAGAGAAAGAAAATTGATCTCTATGGTCAAGCAGGTATTCCTGTCTTTGAGGAGCCCTGGTTAATGTGTAGTGCAGATACACATAGGGAGGGAGAGAGGAGGTCAAAACACACAGAGAGGATTTTATATTTATTTATTTTTTTTTTGTCCTGCCTTAAAATACAAATTTTACTGAAACATTTACCCAAATCAGCATTCATTAGAGTTGAAATGAAAATAATGGCTACTCTCATTAGCAAATGTGTAGTTCAGTAATCTTTTCTAAGATTTTTTTTCACATCAAAATATATATACAGAAAAATGCACAAATCCTAGGCTACAACTTGGTAGAATTTCATAATTGGGACATGTCCATGAAGCCAGCCCCCCAAAGCAGAAACAAAAGCTCCCTTTTCCCCCTACATGCACAAGACTTACGCTAAGGGTCACCCCACCTGATTCCTGGCATCGTAAGTTAGGTGCTTCTGTTTCTTGTACTTTATGTAATTGAAGTCACACAGCATCGACTCTTTCGTTTCTTTTCAGGGATGGGTTCTATTTGTTTTGTTTTGCTGAATGCTTACTTGGTTTTGCATGGTTTAGGGAATGAAAGGCAGTGAAGTTTCTGCTATGCTGGAGAAAGGAGAAAGGATGGGGTGCCCCCCAGGGTGTCCAAGAGAGATGTACGAGCTGATGACCCTGTGCTGGACCTATGAGTGAGTACCAGCTCTTCCTGCCATTTAGCCCAATCCTGTGGAGGCAGATAGAATTGCCAGGCACTAATAAGGAGCATAAATGCTATCCTTTCATGAATCAGGGATGGGCTCCCTTCTAAACAAACAATTGGGGACAGATCTTGCTTCCTGGACCCTACACTTCTCTTCTTTAGTCTAAAGAGTATACAATTACTCTAATTCCAGGTATGAAAATTTTAATGTAGATGATATCAGTCAGGGTTAAGGGGTGTTCAAAATAAAAAACAAATGTTCTTAAGTGTCTGGTCTGGGGATGCGTGCCATGTTTGGTAAGAGAAGATGATGGAAGTACTTAGCAGGGAGATGTCATACTGTCCTAATTCCTGATCACCTCTCAGCCTGAGGCATGATCATGGATGGATTGACTCAGGTTGCACTCCCCAAAAGTGACTCAGAACTTGAAACAGTGACCCTAGAGTCTGCCCCAGTGGCCTGCCAGGTAAAGCACATGTGACATTGTAGGCAGGTGATGTGCAGGGGAGCTCAGCTGGCAAGGGAAACGCATTGCCCCCGAGAATCAAGGACATGGGCTTTGACCTTGCCTGGATTTGGCAGCCTGGATGTGCATTGTGGGGAAACCCAGGGCCAGGGTCTCTGTCCCTCTGACACTGAAGTATGTCTGCAGAGCCATTGTAGCTTGGAAAAGATGCAGGTCTGTAATCGGGAGGAACTCATATATCTGCCAGTAGATTTAATATTTTGAGGATCAGGTTTCTTCTCAGATATGACAGCTGATGCTGCAGAAGCATCTCCAAGATGATGGATATTCTAAGTGCTTCCAGATGCCACCTGGAATTTTACAACATCCCAGGAAGCATCTTCCATGACCGTAGCTGGGAATGGAAGTTAAGAATTGCTTTATTATCTAGAGGTGACCCAGGGTGTCAGCCAAGGGAAAGAGCACTTTCCTCATGGAAGTTAACAATTCTGGGCTGGGCAAACAGGAAACAAATTAACCAAGCACTTAAATGCATGATTACATATTGTGATGGTGCTACAGAGCAAACCACAGGGAGCTTTGAGTGAGAGTAGAGAATTTCCATCCCTGGGTGGGGAAGATCCCCTGGAGGAGGAAATGGTAACTCACTCCAATATTCTTGCCTGGAGAATTCCATTGACAGAGGAGCCTAGAGGGTTACAGGCACATAGAGTCGGACACTACTCCGACTGATAGTTGAACCCTACTGCCATAGAATCGCAAAGAGACGGACCCTTCTAAGCAACTGAGTACAGTACAGCACACACACAGACAATTTGCTAGGGGTGGGGGTTATACTTCCATTGATGAGTCCATATTGGCCTCTTTCAGGAAGGGGCGTTCCAACTGAGAACCGCAGGGTGAGGAACTTGAGTGCAGGAAATGAGAAGAGAAGGAGGCTGCTGGGCACCAGGGTCAGAGCAGCAAAAGCGCCCCAGACCCCGGTACACAGAAGCAGGCAGGACACCAGCAAGCACACAGGACACTTGGCCACGCTCCGCTGCAGAAGCTCAGAGTTTCCCTGGCTTCCCGGCAGCAGCCTGACCGTAACGTAAAGGAGAGTTTCTATGGGAAACCTGCCCAGGCATCCTTGCTGAGGGTCATTCTGTACTCCTGTTTCCCCACACTAATTCGCTTGGTATGTCAGCAAGATCCCCTGGAGAAAGGAGAGGTTACCCACGTCACTATTCATGGGCTTCCCTGGTGGCTCAGATGGTAAAGAAACTGCCTGCAATGCAGGAGACCTGGGTTCAATCCCTGAGTCGGGAAGATCCCCTGGAGGAGGAAGTAGCAATCCACTCCAGTGTTCTTGCCTGGGGAATCCCCATGGACAGAGGAGCCTGGCGGGTTACAGTCCATGGGGTCGCAGAGTTGGACACAACTGAGCGCCTAAGCATAGCACAGTACAGGCTATTAGGTGGATGAAACCCTCACAGTAAGACTCTTAGAGACTTTTTGCGCATTCGGTCAGAGGAGAACACCGTTTGGCAAAGATGATGAGGCTGTGCTCTTTAGTTGTAGTATCAGGAGGGAAGGTTTCCCTCTGTGTGGACACATGTTTCCACTTGTGGTTCTGCATCCCTGGCTTGGCCATCACTTCCACTCCTGAACACACCTTGGTGGCTGGAGATACATCTTCCCACAGTGAGATAGAGGAAGCTTCTGTCTCTAACCATGACCACAGATGGCATACTTCAAGCAGCCTTATTGCTTGCTCTTGAAAACCATAAGTGCAAAAACCATAAGTGCAGCCATTTATTTTGATGCCATTTGCTAGAACAACCCATTTTGGTTCTGTAGAAACCACTGCTCTTATAACAGTGAGTGAGTGATTTTGGGTCCCCATGTGTGGTGCCTGGCTATTCTCTCATACCTAGACTGAACCATGTGAAACTGCAGCTGTTGTTGGTCAAAAAGGTTGAATGTGGACAGTGTATGCAGTTTAACCTCAAGTTCTGTGTCACTTACTGGGCAATTTTACCCACTTGGAATATTGCCAAAAATCTTGCATAATAAAATAACTTCCAAGCAAGGACATATTCTCAGAGTTTTAAGAAATACTTGCTTTCAGCTGATCATGCTCAGTATGCCCACGTTAGAGGAAACAGTTCAGTCCAGTTCAGTTCACTCGCTCAGTCGTGTCCGACTCTTTACAGCCCATGAACCGCAACACACCAGGCCTCCCTGTCCATCACCAACTCCCAGAGTCCACCCAAACCCATGTCCTTCGAGTCGGTGATGCCATCCAACCATCTCATCCTCTGTCGTCCCCTCCTCCTCCCACCCTCAATCTTTCCCAGCATCAGGGTCTTTTCCAATGAGTCAGCTCTTCGTTTCAGGTGGCCAAGGTATTAGAGTTTCAGCTTCAACATCAGTCCTTCCAATGAACATCCTGGACTGATCTCCTTTAGGATGGACTGGTTGGATCTCCTTGCAGTCCAAGGGACTCTCAAGAGTCTTCTCCAACACCACAGTTCAAAAGCATCAATTCTTCGGCACTCACCTTTCTTTATAGTCCCACTGTCACATCATACATGACCACTGGAAAAACCATAGCCTTGACTAGAAGGACCTTTGTTGGCAAAGTAATGTCTCTGCTTTTTAATATGCTGTCTAGGTTAGTCATAACTTCCCTTCCAAGGAGTAAGCATCTTTTAATTTCATGGCTGCAGTCACCATCTGCAGTGATTCTGGAGCCCAGAAAAATAAAGTCAGCCACTGTTTCCACTGTTTCCCCATCTATTTGCCATGAAATGATGGGACCAGATGCCATGATCTTAGTTTTCTGAATGTTGAGCTTTAAACCAACTTTTTCATTCTCCTCTTTCACTTTCATCAACAGGCTCTTTAGTTCTTCTTCACTTTCTGCCATAAGGGTGGTGTCATCTGCATATCTGAAGTTATTGCTATTTCTCCCGGCAATCTTGATGCCAGCTTGTGCTTCTTCCAGCCCAGCGTTTCTCATTATGTTCTCTGCATATAAGTTAAATAAGTAGGGTGACAATATACAGCCTTGATGTAATCCTTTTCCTATCTGGAACCAGTCTGTTGTTCCATGTCCAGTTCTAACTGTTGCTTCCTGACCTGCATACAGGTTTCTCAAGAGGCGGGTCAGGTGGTCTGGTATGCCCATCTCTTTCAGAATTTTCCACAGTTTATTGTGATCCACACAGTCAAAGGCTTTGGCATAGTCAATAAAGCAGAAATAGATGTTTTTCTGGAACTCTCTTGCTTTTTCGATGATCCAGCAGATGTTTCCAATTTGATCTCTGGTTCCTCTGCCTTTTCTAAATCCAGCTTGAACATCTGGAAGTTCACAGTTCATGTATTGCTGAAGCCTGGCTTGGAGAATTTTAAGCATTACTTTACTAGCATGTGAAATGAGTGCAATTGTGCAGTAGTTTGAGCATTCTTTGGCATTGCCTTTCTTTGGGATTGGAAATGAAAACTGACCTTTTCCAGTCCTGTGGCCACTGCAGAGTTTTCCAAATTTGCTGGCATATTGAGTGCAGCACTTTCACAGTGTCATCTTTCAGGATTTGAAATAGCTCAACTGGAATTCCATCACCTCCACTAGCTTTGTTCGTAGTGATGCTTCCTAAGGCCCACTTGACTTCACATTCCAGGATGTCTGACTCAAGGTGAGTGATCATACCATTGTGATTATCTGGGTGGAGAAGATCTTTTTTGTACAGTTCTTCTGTGTATTCTTGCCACCTCTTCTTAATATCTTCTGCTTCTGTTAGGTCCATACCATTTCTGTCCTTTATTGAGCCCATCTTTGCATGAAATGTTCCCTTAGTATCTCTAACTTTCTTGGAGAGATCTATAGTCTTTCCCATTCTATTGTCTTCCTCTATTTCTTTGCATTGATCACTGAGGAAAGCTTTCTTATCTCTCCTTGCTATTCTTTTAGAACTCTGCATTCAAATGGGTATATCTTTCCTTTTCTCCTTTGCTTTTCACTTCCCTTCCTTTCACAGCTGTTTGTAAGGCCTCCTCAGACAGCCATTTTGCTTTTTTGCATTTCTTTTTCTTGGGGATGGTCTTGATTCCTGTTTCCTGTACAATGTCATGAATCTCCATCCATAGTTCATCAGGCACCCTATCAGATCTAGTCCCTTAAATCTATTTCTCACTTATACTGTATAGTCATAAGGGATTTGATTTAGGTCATACCTGAATGGTCTAGTGGTTTTCTCCCCTTTCTTCAATTTCAGTCTGAATTTGGCAATAAGGAGTTCATGATCCAGGAGCCACAGTCAGCTCCTGGTCTTGTTTTTGCTGACTGTATAGAGCTTCTCCATATTTGGCTGCAAAGAATATAATCAATCTGATTTTGGTGTCAACCATCTGGTAATGTCCATGTGTAGAGTCTTCTCTTGTGTTGTTGGAAGAGGGTTTTTGCTATGACCAATGCATTCTCTTGGCAGAACTCTATTAGCCTTTGACCTGCTTCATTCCTTACTCCAAGGCTAAATTTGCATGTTACTCCAGGTGTTTCTTGACTTCCTACTTTTGCATTCCAGTCCCCTATAATGAAAAGGACATCTTTTTTGGGTGTTAGTTGTAGAAGGTCTTGTAGTTCTTCATAGAACTGTTCAACTTCACTTTCTTCAGTGTTACTGGTTGGGGCATAGACTTGGATTACTGTGATGTTGAATGCTTTGCCTTGGAAACGAACAGAGATCATTATGTCTTTTTTGAGATTGCATCCAAGTACTGCATTTCAGACTCTTTTGTTGACTATGATGGCTACTCCATTTCTTCTAAGGGATTTCTGCCCACAGTAGTAGATATAATGGTCGTCTGAGTTAAATTCACCCATTCCAGTCCATCTTAGTTCACTGATTCCTAGAATGTCGATGTTCACTCTTGTCATCTGTTTGATCACTTCCAGTTTGCCTTGATTCATGGACCTAACATTCCAGGTTCCTATGCAGTATTGCTCTTTACAGCATCGAACCCTGCTTCCATCACCAGTCCCATTCACAACTGGGTGTTGTTTTTGCCTTGGCTCCATCCATTCATTCTTTCTGGAGTTATTTCTCCACTGATCTCCAGTAGCATATTGGGCACCTACCAACCTGGAGAGTTCATCTTTCAGTGTCCTATCATTTTGCCTTCTCATACTGTTCATGGGGTTCTCCAGGCAAGAAGACTGAAGTGGTCTGCCATTTCCTGGAGAAGGGACCACTTCTCCAGTGGACCACAATCTGTCTGACCTCTCCACCATGACCCGACCATCTTGGGTGGCCCCACACAGCATGGCTTAGTTTTATTGAGTTGGACAAGGCTGTGGTCCATGTGATCAGATTGGCTAGTTGTCTGTGATTGTAGTTTCAGTCTGTCTGCCCTCTGATCCCCTCTCTCAGTGCCTACCATCTTACTCGGGTTTCTCTTACCTTGGATGTGAGGTCTCTCTTCACGGCTGCTCCAGCAAAGAAAAGAGATGCCTATACATGTTTGTTTAGAGGTTGCAGATTGTGAAAATCTTTTACCCCTGGTTTGCATACACCGTCACCTTACCTGCTAACAGTAACAAAAGTAAGACCGTGCCACATTATGTGTGTAATAGCAGCATGTTTTTAGAAAATTTAGAGCCATCCACTGGAGCCATATACTGGGGCACAACTTTAAATTGTGTCCATATTTTTTTCTTAAAAAGATTGGGAGCTAAGTATTAAATATATATCTACAGCACACTGGTCAACTAAGTATTTTCAGATGCATTCTGTGTTGCTAGATCATAATGAGACCATGTCTGAAAGTGGGGTTTAAAGATCCTGACTCTGAGTACAAAGCTTTCCCACCTTAAGTGGACAGGAATCACCTGGGCAGTCTGTAGTATGCAGGTTAGTTCCGTGGGTCTGGGGTGGGTGTGACAGTTCCCCAGGGGCTTCTGCTCACCTGAGCCCAGAGCAGGGGTGTGCTGTGACTGCGGGTTCCTGAGGAAGCCAGCAGAGGGCGCTGCCACTCCACTCGCACTTGGCCTTCACAGGCCCCCGGCTGTGATCAGCGCTGTTTCACAAGCATTGCTAACAACCGGTAATACCTCTCTTCCCTTTGCAGCGCGGAGAACAGGCCTGGATTCGTAGCTGTGGAACTGCGGCTGCGCAATTACTACTACGACGTGGTTAACTAAAGGATCCCAGGCCATCTGTGGCTGCCTTTCAGCAGATGAGCGGCTGCGGAAAGACTATTCTAGTGCGTTGATTTTGAGCCTTCATCGCCCTCTGCCCATCGGGAGAGACGGCTCAGGTGGACCGTGTCCGTGACTGTTATTCCCCCAAAACCTGTCCTGGAACACGCCCTCCACAAAGTAGACCCGTCCCAGAGAAGCGGTGGGAAGACAGACAGACACCAGGACTAAGGGGCCTGTGGCTTCGTGAGTGTCTCTTGTCCATGTGGCACATTGTTTGCAGGATTTGTTTGCAAATTCCTTTCTCACTTTCCAGTTCTCAGGCTCCTGGGAAGCATCACCACGGCGTGCTGAGCCCTCTTGCCCACCACGGCTGCGATTCTGGAGGATGTCTTTGGCTTGTGGCACCTGCCAGGGAGGGAAAGGAGAGGAGAAGGGGTTTGACTACCTCTAGAACATGGCTCCGACAGGTCCTGAGACTGAGTCCTGCCACTGAAAAACTTTCCCCAATAAAAGTGCTTTGAGGCTTAAAAACCAACAGACAAATCCGGCTGCATCAGTGCAGTTTTTAAGCCTGTAGCCCAGTTCAGGGAAAAGAGAAAGTTTGGGTCCTGCTTTTGCTCCGTGTGTTCTGAGGCAGAAAGTTCGGGTCTACGTGGAAAATGGGGCCTGTTGGAATGATTTGGCTTGGCCTGCTCTCCCCGCAACAGCCCCTCTCTTTCAGACTCTCTGAAGACTATACTTGACTGAAGACTAGTAAAGAAGGTTTTTTGTAAAGATCCAGTAGGGGAGAAGGTGCCCATCATCTCAGGTCTGACCAAGGACAGACTGCAGGGTGCTGCGGGCTGTTGTCTGCTTATCCAAGCTTCCTCTGCTGCAGCTGGAATTCCCTGACTTTTTCTGCATTCATAGTAAGGGACAACCTGATGGCCAAGGCCATCTAAAGATAAGTTTCTGAAGCAAGTATTAATTCAAAATAAAGTCAAAGACCCTGCCCTGCCCACAGGTAAGCCTCACTGAGTTTGATTTTCAGTTGAAGCTACAAGACCCAGGAAATGTTTTCTAGTCCCCTACTTCTTAGTTAATCCTGACTGTTGTTTGATCATATGCAGGGCATCAGCTCATTGATATCAGGTTTGCTGTAGCCCTTAAAGGTAGGTGTTAATTGGCCATCCTTCTTAGGTCTGTCAAGACACATAAACTCAGACCATCTCATCATCAGTTGCGTCTACATCCAGCTGATGGCCAGAGGAGGAGGCCCCACTCCTAACAGGGGAGCTAGGCACAGAGAAAGGCAGCGGCCAGCACTCCAGCTTAGCCAGGTAAAGACATGAGTCCCCTGGTGGAACTTGTGTTAAAAAACTTTCAGAACCTACCCATGCTTTTTGGAATCATGCCACCTGGTGGTTTATTCACTGTATTAAAGAGAGGATCCCTATGTGCTGAGCAGATACTCAATGCACAGCACATTGAAATTATAAAGATTAGTGACACAATCTCTGTGGTCAAGCTGTGTAGAATTATCAGAGGAAGATCTGGATAAAGCGAGGATGGCATCTAAGAAAGAGGCCATCCATACATACTGCTGGACTCCCAGGGTCCTTCTTCAGCCCTAAAGTGTGTTTGTAGCTGAGGCCACATGCATACAGGAATAAGGGGTGTGCCTAGAGTAAATGTGTAGAGCTCTTTCCTTCTTTCAAGTGGGATTGTCCACTGCATCGCATCTCCTCACCCCTCCCCGGAGTCAGGGGAGGAAAGACATCTAGAATGCTAGTGGGCAAGAGAAACCCTGCCTGGGAGGCAGCCAGCACTTCCCCCTCCCACTCTGTCCTCTGCCTCTCCCCCAGTGGAGAGAGACCTGAGTATAGAATTCCCCCTGTGGCCAGTGTCCACATCTTATCCAGTGACAATTGTGTCCTGTGTGCGGGGTAACTCTCCTTTCCCCTGGGGTCGCAGAGGAGGGGACACAGGGAAGGCACCCTTGTAGAAGAGGGATTTGTGATGTAAATGAGCAAAATTTGGAAGGTTAGGGCTTCCCATGGGGCATCTGGCCTGGGCTGGGCTTTCACATGAATGCTGCCCTTCTGATGGTTCTAAGCGCGTCTTTACCCTGATCTGGGCTCACTCCATGTGCCTACACCTTTCAGTTCACGTTTAACAGGATCAAAAGGACAGCATGATGGACACATTGCCCTGGCCAGCATCAGTTGTCTGCTGATGCCACAAATACCTTGTTCCTCAGTTGGGACCAAAAGTTTTTGTAACAGAAACATAATTCATTCTGTGGGTAAAACAATAAATGCTTTTTGTCTGAACCTGTTCTTTCCCTGCAATTGCTGGTATCAGCCTTGCCTTTGCCACTAGATGGTGACTTCACATTTACCCCCAACCAATGACTGCAGAACCCCACCCGGGTTTTCACATGTGGGGCAGACTGCTGGAGTGTCAGGCCTCCAGCCTCCCAAGGAGCACAGTTGACCAATTAATCTTGGGCGTCGTATTCTCCATTCATTTCAGAAAAGCAATCTTTTGTCACTGGACTTTTTTTCAACTGTAATTTTTAATAAAAAATTTAAATGAGCTTTGTGATGAGTTGCATGGATGCAATTAATATGTGATAGTTGTACTCGGACACTATCATGTCCGACTCTTTGTGACCCTATGGACTGTAGCCCGCCAGGCTTCTCTGTCAATGGGATTTCCCAGGCAAGAATACTGGAGGGGGTTACCATTTCCTCCTCCAGGGGATCTTCCCAACCCAGGGGTCAAACCTGTGTCTCTTATGCCTCCTGCATTGAAAGGTGTGTTCTTTACCACTAGCACCACCTGGGAAGCCCAAAATAGGATAAGTATACTGTCAAATACACTGTGTCAAACAAGCATGTCCAATGTGCAGCGTGTTAAAAACAATGTTAAGTCCCCAGCCACGGTCTAAAATGGTGGATGTTTGCAGGCTGGTGAAAGTGGATCTGGAAGTTTCTGCCATGCACATAAGGGAAAGGCCTATTGATGAGGGCCCTGGGCCACTGAGCTCCTCTGTTCACGGGCAGGGGTCTGCCCAGCAAGAGCCTTGTGGCTCACAATGTATCCTAACTGGTGTGGGCCAACAACATAGAAATCCCAAAAGGGGCCAGAGCAGGGCTGTGGGTGTGAACTTTCCCTTTGTACACACAGTTTATGGAGCATTGGGGGTGACAAGGAAAGAAATCCAGAGCCCTCATTCCCTGTTTTAAAGGAGGTTACACAACGTGCATGGACATCACATAGACACATACCTCGCACATAACATACCTCATAAACACACATGCCACACACATATACTGAACCTTATTCCAAACGACCACTTCATTGGAATTCAGTGCAAGTGTAAGGCAGACATCCTGCCGTGGGATACATAACGGTGGCTCTGTCAGATCTCTTCTACCTGCTGTATGCCAGGGTCAAGTACCAGAGTCTCGCCTGGCTGCCAGCCTCCCTCCAGCCCCACTAGAATTTCTCCAGCTCCTGGCGGGCAGAGGTTTGAAGGAAACCAGGGTTGACTGGCCTCTCTCTCCCTTGGTGGGCCCTGAGATCAGGACAGCCCCAGGACAGGAACAACACAGACCACCAAATAGCCCCTTGGCGGGTTGCCCCGGAAGCAAAGCATGACAGGTGGTCTCCAGCACTAACCCTGGGGCAGTCATACAAACTCAGCCTCCTGATGTGCAGAACTGCAGCTGAGGGTTACCCACGGCCTGCCCTGGCACACGTAAGTGCCAGGCGCAGAGGCGGGATGGAGGGCGGGGCTGCATAGTCTAAAAATGCCGGGGTCGCCACAGCACCTGGCCTGTGGGAATTCTGCCGGCCAGCAGGTGGCGCTGAGTGATGGCGCAGGAAATGACTTCTTCAACCTCAGGAAGAGGGCAGAAAACTAGCAATCCCATTTGTGGTCACTGTGAGGGAGCAGAACCCAAGCAATCACATGTTTGTGACCACTGGAAACGGTGACGTGAAATGGCTTTATCGCCAAACTGAGCTTGGGCTGAGAGAGATTTTAAGACCTGTGGCTTGACTTTCCAAAGGCAGGAAGGGACTTCAAAACCAGTTAATAAACAATTTCTCACTTCAGAAAAAGCACCTGTTAGACTTTGTCCCAAGCTGCAGTTAGGATGAGAGTTGCTGGCGCCCAAGGGGAAGGGGTTAGCAGAGAAGAGCTGCCTTCCTGTAAGCTGGGGTGACTTCTTGTCCACTCAGTCGTTCCAATGACATTGTCGACTTGAGAAAGAGAAGGCATTTTCCCCATCGCACCCACACAGGCCAAACTGAGGAGCCTGAGAAGTAACCCCCCCTTATGGAAAGTCCTGTGATTACTATAAAGAAACATACCCAGTGACCACCTGATACAAGGAAATGACAACTCCTCATGTGATCCTGAACTGCCCACCAATTTGTAGACACCTAAGACCAGGAGTGGCGATGGCTCCCAGCTTCTGAAACATACAGCTGATTTTCAGAAAAATAAAAATAACTGAAAGAGCCAGGATGGGATCTTAGTTCAGGACAAACGATGCCGACATTTCCCACTTTAGGCAGTAATTGCTTCCTTCTGGACATTGGCTTGTGGCCTCAGGATGGAATTCGTCCCCACCCTCAGAGAAAACCAGTCCTCTTGAATCATGGCCTTTCTCAGGCAATGGAAGCCGAGCAAAGGCAAAGTGCAGTCAAGCACCCAAGCCCTACCCCTTCTCCTTCTCCCTGCCATGTACCCAAAGAGAAGGCCAATAAACAGCTCACAAGTGTCTTCCCTACAAATGTGAGTCTGGAGACAGAGCCGTGCTATGCACCCAGCAGTTCCCTGGTGAAATCACATGACTGAGTGCATTTCCACATAAGAATCCCAGTGTCCCCCTTAGTCCAAGGTTCAGGGAATAGTGCAGCAAAGACCTTTTCACACATTTTTTTCTAGCTCATCATTTTCCTGACTTCTTTGAACACAGAGCCACCATTGTGCTCAAGGACAACTA